GTCGGGTGGGAAAACTTCTAGTCTTTCTAGGGTGGTCTCAGCGGTGAGTGGTAGATCACGGTACGCGTGCCACTGCATCGGTCGATTTGTGTAGACTAAGGACCCAATGATTTGAAAAAAGCAAATTGTGTAGAGAGCGCTACTGCGACATGCAGAGTTGTAGTCCACCAGAAGCAGTAAGACGCGGTGCTGTCAAGGCTGTCAAGATGAGAAGCGCTGCAACAGCGACGCCTGCGTAGCGTGGAAGCCAGTATGACAGGGAAGATTATGCGCTTCATATACTGTACCAAACTGAGAGAGGACTGATCGAATCAAAACTTGCACGTTGATTATGCGCGTCAAAGAACGACAAGTTTCTATTCGTAGACGTTATTTGGTTCGCATTGAAAAAATAACAGTAGGGCTGTCCAATCTCCTGCTCGAACGCCTCTTGTTGATGGCGTAAGCGATTTCTAGTAGTTCTGGAGAGAGGAGCCGAGATTGACATGTGTATGCGCCATCAACCAACAGGGTGGGTGGTATCTCGAGCAATGGGATGTGTCGCACTCGTGCACGCCGAACATCAGTCAGGACATTTTAAGCCACTGAGGCGTTCACATAATCGTTTCGAGAGCTGATGCTGAGCAGTTGAGGTCTCTTTTGGGGCGTTTAAGCGAGCGGAACGCATCAAAATCCAAGCATTTCAGGCGACTCCGACTCATCAGGCGGCTCAGGGTTCAGGTGACACCGCGGTGGGTGAGATAGAGTTCTTAGTCAGGTATTGAGGCGCACGCCCATTTTGGCGCCGGGAACCGCGGTACTGACCTCCATGTGAACATTGTCGACGTTGACCGCGGGACGTCATAGAACAGTGACTGTAATAACCAAAGGCCCAACATACAGGTCGCGTGTATGCAGACTACGTCAGTCCATCTCTTGTAAAGCCCAAGCGGAGTCGGGCCGTAACGGAGTCGTGAGGAGAGGAATCTTGGAAAACAGTAGCAATCTCGCAGTACTGGGAAACTGCACAGTGGAGCCAAGTGATTATGCCGCGTTATCCCAGGTTGTCAAATGATATGGTAGTAGTCCCTGGTCGACCAATTTATCAAACTTCGAATGGTGAGCAAAAGTCACGATGATCCAAGGTCAAATGTCGCTTGTGGTGTATTGGAGTCGCATCAGCTGAATCAGACCCTCAGCTGAAACTCCAGCCATGGCCTGTTGATGAAACCTTCTGAGAGGAACGCCGCCCGGTTCGGTGTAGTACACCGTCGGCTGCAGGCACCGAACAAAGGTTCACGCAAGCAGCCTCGTCATGCTCACGATAGGTATCGTAGGGCGGATGTAGCGGGACTCTAAGCAGTTCGGTGATGACCTCTCAGAGACACAAGCGAGGCGGCGTGTGAGCAGAAGAGGGTGTGAGGTGGACCGAAGAGGGCAAGCTTAGAATGAGGCTGAGTGGGAATAGAGAGAAGGTGATGGTATGCTGTGTGATGTGCCCCGCCGCTAGCGCAGAATCGTGACTACGTAGTGTCTTCGGGCCTTTGGCTCCACCGCAACCCACTCCTTAGTCCACCTTTCCTCTTGACGCCTCGCTGCAATTTGCACGATCGCGCTGGTCAGTCTCTGGCCATAGTTTGACATTTAGCGGTAATACATCGATCGACAGTCCTGCATTAACGGCCGTCGAGTCCGCAACACCTAGTGGCCAATGCGCGCGTGCAGCCTGCTGCAGGTCATCCTACACCGAGATGGTGTGCCGCCAACCATCTCATGTGGTCCGCCAGCCATCACTCTGCCTGTCACCCAGTCCCTTGCGCCCTGGGATCCCTACCCTATTCTGTTCACGCTGCACTAAGCTTCTCATCCACACCGCACGCTAATGCGTATGCACTGCACATGCAGGGCACCTCTTCCGGCTGCATCTCTCGCCTGCAAACATAAGTACCCAAGGGAATCCTCCAGAATACACATTCGGTATCAGGATATCTCCAGGAGGATAAGCCACGGTTTCCTACTAACGGTCGCTTCTTGACTCGTCCCCTACCAGGCAAACAAAACACTTCCTAGGCAGCACTACCATTGTCTCATCGTGGCCGCCTCATCCACTCCGCCTTCCTGTGACTCTATCAGAAGCTTACGCCCAAGTCACGCATATATATTGCGTGCGCCACTCACCACTGGCTAAACTACAAAAACAACCTTCCTCCACCACCACTTGTGAGCTCTCGTTACCGAGTGTTCGCAAGCTGTTGTTTAAGGAAGGACCGGCCAGGAGCCGGAGCTGAACACCATTCTCGGTCACATCGCCTTGGTCAAGGTTGAATCAAGCGCTAAACCGTCGCTACCCGTTCGACGTTCATCACTCCTTCGAAAGTTCAAGGATATTCTATTAATCATGCCTTCCTATCTACGAAGCGCCCCCCGTTCCTACTCCTTCCCACCCTGGGTCGAGAACGGCAACGAGGACACAAATGAGAACGACCTTCCAGACATCGACGAAGACCCCTTCTCGCACTTCATCTCACCACCAATCACTGAAGCTGATGACCCGTACGAACTGTCTCTCAGCGCTGGCATTGACTTCCAGGAAGGACCACGCGCAACTAAGTCTTCCAAGTTCAAGTCCAACGTCGCCAACAAATGGGCCCGATACGTCAAGCACAACCACAGCCAGCTCCACAACCAGTACCATGCACCTACCATCTATGAAGAAGACGAGGAAGAGTCTTTCATGGGTCTCGATGACGACCGACTGAACGACACACCACATGTCGTGTCTCAACTCAGCCCACCACGAATTAGGATCACCGAACCATCTCGAGGTCGCGCACAGGATCTTGCAACTCGCAAGCAGCAAAATCGTCGCCGCTACTCGCGCACACTATCTGGTCATCGTCACTCGTGGCGGGAACCCAGCCCGGATCTATTCACTGTAGACGAATCTGAAGAGGAGGATGTTCCTGCGCTACGACGCGCAAAAACAAGGAAGCCCAAGGAGGGCGCAGAACGACGGAGGTCGTCGACACGATCAAAGTCAAGAGCGAGAGTGGACTCGGTGACAGGAGAGTCAATTTTGTAATCACGAGGAGAAAAGGTGTAGTGGGGTTGGGGCCGGCTACACAGCATTCCGCGGCGTTGGTGGCTTTTTGACTTTACGCATACAGCATTGGGAGGCGTCTTTGGTATACCACGGGTTTGCATATTTCAACGTTATACGCATTGGGCGGAGTTTTACTGAGCATTTACATTTACTGTTCGCGCATGGCGCCAGTATGAGATCGATCGAACAAACAAATTCCACTTCATAATATCTTAATGCACATCCTCACACGTTCCCTGTACATCAATTGCGAGATCGTCATCAAGAAGGCTTCCCCCGGCACAACTTCTTCTCATCAGCCCTTGGAAGCGCGTATACTGTCAAGCACACGCAACCAGTCCCCCACACCAAACGTGACTACTGCACGCTAGAGTAAGCGTGCGGTGCCGTGACCTCACGCCGCATAACCCACGATAGCGAAAACAACCAAGTACCCAAATCTACCCCTCCACACCCTAACAGCGAACATCCCTCTTCGCGCGCTTACCGCCGCTCAACCCTGAACCACCCGAAAACCCTCCGCGGTGGCTCTCACAGAAAATATCGGGTCTATCGGCACCGCTATATCGCGAATGTATTGCGAGAAAAGGTGAAGATTGTCTTATCAACCAGCCTGCTCTTTTTTTTTCTTCGTCAATTCAGCCTCACGATTGCCTGCATGCAGTAGAGGGGTCGAGATTTTCCTTTTCAGTTACCACAATGAGGCTTGGCTATACCGCTTTGTTCTGTTCTTGTATGCAGCCTCTCGCATGAGAGCGTGCCGAAAAAACATTTACCGGCATGAGTGTATCCATGAGTACCCCTCACTTCCTCCATTCACGAAGCGCAGCGTGCCGAAATTCTTGCAGAAAAGCAGCATTTCCTGCTGCGCATCTTTACGCGAAATGGAGCGAGACGATGATCTGCTTGGCTTACCTATCCCGAACGTGACACGGTCTGACCTGACATAACCTGACCACTTGTCATGTCCATGCTGTTCTATCTCCTTCGGACGGCAGACCCTGCGTCTTGGGTTTCTCTTTCACCCTTTCATCTAGGCGGGCGATCTTAGACTGCCGACTGCCGCAAAGGGTCACGCGGCGCGAGCAAGCCCTGTGGTGGGCTTTGATCCGGGGTCGGCAAAGTTGACGATAGTGCTGAATCATGAGGCTGGCTGGCGTGATTGCGCTCAGGCGGGGTCTCTTTTTGATGTTTCTCGTTACGACGGTGGGGTGGGGTGTGGGTTGGGCATGTGGCCTGTGTTTCGGGAAAAGAGTGGCTTTCTGCGCAGACGGGCCGAACTGTGGGGTCGTTGTGTGTACGCCCATGTCTTAGATTGGCGGAGGATCAGGAGATATGGGATGTGTATCCGAAGGCGTGATGATCATTCTCGATGCGATCGTAGAGGGCTTGGTATATGGCATGTTAAACCGCGAACGAGTAAGATGATGCGCAAGAGTTCGTCATGTTGCAGTATATGTTGTGCGTTGTGCGTTGAGCGTTGTGCAGCGCTGCAGCCGCTTGGCCTAATGGTAGATGCAGGGCAATGACAGTAAGGAAAGTCGATCAATCTGGCGTCTCGCTAAGTGGACCGACCACAGGCTGGGGAAGCTTACGCGTGGAGTAGGCTGGGTTTCGGGATGCTTTGGAAGACAGTGGAGAAGAGTTCGCGGTAATTATTGATTAAAGGAACATGATCACTGCGCTGGAAACAGCCGTCGCTGCGAAACACACAACGTAGACTGCGTTTCCAATGGGAGCCGTTGCTCCGTGGACGAAGAACCCGTACCTGCAATACTCACGCGCGTGATATGCCCAGACCTAACGCGTCTTGATGACGTCGTTATTTGCGACGCGACTCCAGCGTTGATGAACCATGCACCACATGCATTCGCACCCACACCTACCCTTACCATCTCAACCCCCCTGAAGCATCACAATGCCGCGCCTAGACGAAAATACCCAGCAAACCCTCCGCGATGCAGAACAAGGAATCAAGAGGCGAACAGCGGGTGCCTGGGACAGTTTCAGCAACTTCGCCCTACGCGACAACGTGCTCGAAGTAGCTGTAGGATTAATGTACCACGCTCCTACAACAACACGTATACCTCTACTGTACTAATACAAGCAACCAGTCTTGCAGCCTCCTTCACCGCCTGTGCAAACTCCCTCGTCTCCTCCATAATACTACCCATAATCTCCCTCCTCCCTTTCATCTCTCGCAACCTCGACTCCAAATTCGCCATACTGCAATCTGGGCCCAACTACAATGTCTCCATCTCCAACGGCTACAACACGCCTAAACAAGCCATCGACGACGGTGCTGTGGTGCTAGCCTATGGCGATTTCCTAGATAAAGTCATCAGGTTTCTAGCGATTGCGTTGGCACTTTGGGTCATCGCGCTGGCATATTCGAGGGGTAGTGGGGATAATATTGTGAAGAAGCAGGTCAAGTGCAAGTTCTGTAGAAAGTACATTAGTGAGAAGGCGAAGAGGTGTGTTAACTGTACCAGTTGGGTGGATGGGAGAGAGGACCGAGGATAGAATGTAGTCGGGGAGAGTGAGTGATTTATTGAAAGCTGAAGAAAGTACCTAAGCATGATCGGCCTTTCGAATCATCCAATCATTGTACTAAGCATGTTATGCAAAAGATGATAAACCAAAACACCATTCAAAGCCGCGATGATAAGGAAACACCTTCCACCGCGCGTCCGACAACTTACCGTATTTCCAGTTGAATCCATGCCATGAATTTTTATGCACTAGGATGGTCCCTCCCAATAGTTACTTCTTTCGACCACTGGTGCTTCGATATCCCTAGGAAGAGTCATGTACAGCTTCGCGGGTTTCTTCGTCACTCAAAGAGCCGCGGATCCAACCAATCTGGATTGACGGATGTTTTGTTGCAGACGGAAAACACCATATCTTGTAACTTGTACATTGACCATCGATTGCTTATCACCCAATGCTGTGTAAACACTCCTGACGCACTGCATGTACTGTACCTAGGTAGTCTGCATTGGAGTACAACATCTGCAGTCATGAAACCAACCCCACAGAATTCACTCAATTGAGAAACTTTCTATCGCACATCTCAACAAGGTCCCTTGTCTCGCAAGGAAGGCCGTTCTCGATAACAAACTACCTCGGAGCACAGAACAACATGATCCTAACCTTCTAGAAATTTCGCAACGAATTGCGCAACCTCCGTAGGCCTCTCTACCATTGGCAAATGTCCTGCACCATCAACAATCTTCAGTTCAACACCACTACCAAGCTTATCCGCCATGTTCTCCTTCATGGTTTTAGGCAGCACGCCATCGCCAGCACCTACCAAGAACGCGCCCTTGCCCTTGTACCCAGCCATCTTCTCCCTGATATCGTACTGATGCAGCGCCTTGACAGAATCGCGGAAACCAGGCAGAGAATTCGTCTTGACCATGTCCTTGACACGTTGAACCTTCTTCGCTAGCTCCGCATCGTCGTAAGATTCCTTGACAAACCAGCGGCGGACTGTCACTTCTGCGAGTTCTTCGCCAACAATGGGTTCGCCGGATGCAGCTTTTAGGCCTTCTTTCTCAGCGACGCCGACACGCTCGTTCCAGGCATTGGCGTTGGAAGGTGGGGCGAAGGCATTGGTGTCGCAGCCTACGAATGCTGAGATACGGTCCGGGTAAGAGAGACCTGCGTTGAGTGCTGTTGCACCGCCAAGAGAGACACCGACGATAGATGCTTTTTTAACGCGGAGGGCGTCGAGCACTGCGATGACGTCGTCTGTGAGGGTGTGAACTGAGATGGGAGATGTAGAGCTTGACGGAAGCGTATGACGTCCACGAGTGCTGTATCGGAGGATGCGGTATTTGTCGTTTGTAGCTTCTGAAAACTCGGCAACGAAGTCGTCCCAAATACCATAATCGACGAGAATACTGTTCGAGAGAACGAGTAAAGGCGCATTGGGATCGCTAGAGCCTTCGAGGCGGTACTGGAGTTCCACACCGTCTTTCGTGGTGATGAAGCTCTCAATCACCGGTCGCTTGTCTGATGTCGTGTGCGCTGGATATGTCTTAACCTTGCCTTCTGTGCTTTCCACTGGTGCTGTGTCTTTGCTTGTCAAACTTTGTAGGTCGCGCTGCGCAGCCCCAAACGTATAGTACAAGTCATAAACCCTCCTCTTCCGTTCCTTCACAACATCTTTGTAGATCTTGTCGCACCAATCCGTTGTGGTAGCAGCCTTAAACTCGGGCCCTCCTAGTCCATTCTGCGGCGCATACTCATGCAGCGCAAGGAACTCTTTCTCTGACTTGTGTCCGCTTTCGAGATCTAGGTAGGATGTAACAAATCTCCTGGTCCGCCTCCAGCCTGGGACTTTCTGCAGGAGCGGTACATGCTCCTCGTGATACCATTTCTTCAGCTCTTCTTCCTTGTCCGCGCCGTCTTGCAGCGCAAAGCTTACAGCTATCATCACGTTCTTCTCCCCCTCGTTTTCTACTTTCTGCAGGTCCTTGAAGTCCTCGCCTTTCCACTCGCCGAGTAAGTCGTACGACCGTCTGTCCACGAATATCTGCTTCATGGTATCTCGTTCACGTTGCGTCTGCACCGGTGCGCTCCGAAGCTTCGTGTACGGTTCCCTCGTGAGCCATTCGAGCTCGTCGAAATCGTAAATGGCCATCCATTCTGGTTTGTCTTTGGAGCCAGATGCATTCTCGAGGTCGGTGGCGCGGTAGCGGAAACCGTTGTTGCAGAAGGGCAGGCGGAGTCGGTTTGGGCCGTGTTCGTTTTGGTACCTTGGTGGGAAGAGCGTCAGGTGGGATCGCGAAGAAGCAAGAATGCGACTATGGAGTGTCAACTTACCAATCATGGAACTGTGCTTCAGGCAAGCCCTCCTTGGGTTGCATCGTCACGTACAAAATGCCTGGTGTTGATTTGGATGCCATGATGTCTGTTGCAGTGGGGTAGCTGTGACTTCAGTATGAGTGTTGCAAGCAGTAGGTAAGCAGGTGAAGAAACGCAAGAGGATGGAAGGTATATGGATTCGATTAATGCAACTATGCTACTCCAAATCCCTCGTGCGAACCATGACGAAGTTGGGGAAAGAAGAGGTCCCCCGATGACATTTGCCGGCTGGCGTTAGTTCGGACGACAGCGGTACCGCTGCCCCTCATTCTTCCGAGGCTGAACATAGACCCGCCCCTTCCACGCTATGTTTCGGGACGTGGAGGATGACCAGTACTCATTCCCACCAGAGCTATCTTGAGTGCACGACTTTCGAAAACTTGAGCTGCTAGTGCACTTAATTCTATTCAAAGGCATCTTCCATTGGAAAATGTGTTTCTTGCCTACATCAACTTAGTCGTACCAAATCGCATTCATGCCAAAGCCCTTCTCGCCAATCTCTAACCTCGCAACCCGTGCCAAAAATTCATCATGCCATCTGTATATTTCCACTCCGCCCTTCTCATCGTCTGTAAGCGCCAACCACTCATCCGACCACGGACATGGTGATACAGCGTTTGAGTGACCACCAGAGGTCGGTGTAGGGTTGAGGCAGATTTGTCGCTCAATGGCGCCTGATGGAGCAATCTTAAAGGCGGCAATGTAACCAGTGAGAGAGAAGGAGTTGGATCGGGAAGTCGCGAACAGGTAGTTTGAGGATTTGGTGAGGAAACAAACATCCGAGCGGTACATGGTGTTGGCATTGGGGATACCTGAGATAGTCATTTAGCTTTTGGGGTGATCATGGGTAGAGAAACGGCTTACCAGGCGGGATCAACGGGTACGTCTTGTGTGTGTAGACGGGCAGCTTCGTCTGCGGGTCAATTACATACTCGCACAACCGATTTCCTGCCTCCATCAAGGCATAGAGGTAGTTTCCAGACGGATGCATCTCTACCCATCGTGGATGGTCTTTCGGCGCCGGAGCCTCAGTGAAGCCTACTGTTTCCAGTCTACCCTCCTCGTCTATCTTCTTGTGACACCATACTCGGTTTGCCCACATGTCCGCGCTGTAGAGGTAGGTTTCTGAGGGATCGAAGACCATGCCATGGATCGCAGTTTTCTCGCAGTACTCAAAATTCTGGATGTTCTCTTTGATGTGTCCTGAAGGGTTGACCGAGAAGATATTGCCGTAGCCAGCGAAGTCGTAGAACGGGTTGCAGTATACAGCGTATGGGGGCTTCTGGGCGGGAAGGAGAAAGATGGCACGCGTCTTCGTGTCGGCATCATTTGCTCTGGCTGCGAAGCCTGTCAGTAGTGGCATGCGATGCTCATGCTGTATCACTTACGGTGTCCGCCCATGGGAAAGCTTCCAGTGTGTACAATCTCGCTCGGGCTCTTGACTTCATGCGAACTCCATTTCTTCATCGAAGCACCGTAGATGTTCTTCCTCTTGTGCTGTGTTTCTGGTGATCAGCCATTGTTGGTTGCATCCATGTTCGGGAGTTGCGCGCATACGTCGAAAGCCATCCAACTTATGGGCTCATCCTCTGGAATCTCCGTCTTCTTCACCAGCTCCAGCTTGAGTGTCTCATCGTCAAACGCGACCGTGATTATCACACCCGGCGGCGTCCAAGTGCCGATCATGAGATGATGCTTGACCATGTTGGCGGTTCCTTCTTTTTACAGATCCGTTCTTCCCCGTTGGCGAACAAGTTGCGTGGGAAACTGCAGGACGAAATGTCTGCCGGATCTGCCCTCCACCTCTCAGTAAGTCGGCCATCGCGTCGCGTCGTCAAACTTCCGGGGTCCCCCTCCGAGGGCGGGGCATTAGTGCAGATGACGCTAAATCTGAGGGAAAAAGGGCGGATAAGTCTTCTTCCACATCGGCTGCCCTTTGATTCGCCAATCTGCTCAGGTCAAGGCGGGGCAATCGTCGCGACATGGCGCAACCTTCGGCACTGTGGCTGTTCGCGCCCACAGCACGCTTGAAAGCCGGTACAGCATGCCGCCAGACGGTTTGGACAAGGTGTCGCCTGATGCGCAGCTAGAAGGACGGTCATTGCAAACGGCACCAGTTCGGTTGGCTACGGCCGGCTGGATTTCAACTACTATTTATTAAGCTGCTCGTGCCCCGGACTTTGATGTCTAACTGCACTACTCCATCTCTAACATCTTCTTGATACCCTTTGTTGCTTCGTCTTCCCATTCCTCTACACACTCAACATGAACCCAAACACACAAACAGCGCCTGAGCCTCAGGAGAATGGCCAGCATCGCTTCGATCCCAACTTCACCGACGCCGTCATCAATGCCATTGGCCCGAATGTGCCAGACCGGACACGATTCGTCATGGGAAAGCTGATCAGGCATCTCCACGACTTCATCCGTGAGGTCGAGCTCACCAACGAGGAGTGGTTCGAGGGTGTACGATTCGTCAACTCTATTGGCAAGACTACAACTTCCACCAGGAACGAGGCGCATCGTATCTCAGATGTTCTGGGCGTAGAATCGTAAGTAAATAAGCTCGGTCAAGCACAAGCAACATACTGACTCGGCCCCAGATTGGTCGACGAGATTGCACACAGGCACATTAACGAGTCTGGAGAGACACCTACTTCATCCACAATCCTCGGTCCCTTTTGGTCACCACACTCGCCATTCCGCGACCTTGGCGACACCATTATTCGCAACCCACACCCCGATGGCCAGACAACTCTCATGCATGGTGTAGTTAGGGATCTTGACACCAAGAAGGGTATCCCTAACGCAGTCATCGACATCTGGCAGGCAAGCGCCAACGGAAAGTACGATTTCCAAGATCCGGAGAATCAAGAGCCAAACAACCTGAGAGGAAAGTTCACTACCAACGAGAATGGCGAGTACTGGTACTACTGCTACAAGCCAACAGCGTACTCGCTACCTACTGATGGTATGTCGAATTCCAAAGACCTTGTACGAGCACAACTGACACTCAACAGGCGCTGCTGGTCAGCTTTTCAAGACCCTCGACCGCCACCCTTTCCGTCCCGCACATATCCATCTTATGGTTTCCGCCGAGAACTACAAGCCACTCATCACACAACTATACCCCCGCGATGACCAATGGGTCACCAATGACACCGTCTTTGCGGTCAAGGACGACCTGCTGCTAGACTTCAAGCCCAGCAACGACCCCAAGGCGAAGCTCGACTTGACATACAATGTTACCCTTGCGCCAGCAGGCAAGAAGACGAGCAGGTTGGAGGGTATTCCCAGGCTGCCGAATGTGTTCGACGAGCAGAGCAGGCTGTAAAATAAATATTTTTTGGCGGCGTTGCATATGTAAATATTTCAGTGGGATTTGCGGAAATTTTGGCATCAATGAATCTATAATCAAGTGCTCTTCTGACGGCCTTGACTCTCATGAGACTGGGACAATGGCTATATCCGATTTCACATGTCACATAGTTGGGTATTACGCATCTAGCTATTCCAGATACCGGAAAGCATATCCGTCACAGTCCCTGCATGTGCATAGAGTGGATATATAAATCTCTCGATTGTCCTGTGTTTCCCAACTTCCAATGTTCCTCCGCCTCTTTCTGTCAAATCTCGCACGTCCTCAACCTCGTACCATACTATCGGATATCCACGTACGAACCTTGACTTCAGCAACCTCACCCAAAATGCGTGTCCCTTACGCCCCAAACGAGCCCCCAAATGAAGAAGCCCGCCCCATCTACGAGCGCATCGCCGAGCGACGAAAGCCCCGCCCCCTCATCCCTCTCGACCTCGCCCTCCTACACAACCCCGCCGTAGCGGACGGCTGGAACTCGTTCATCGGCGCGATACGCACCAAGACCAGCTTACCTGCCAATCTCAAGGAGCTGGCCATAAGCCGTATTGCCGTGCTGAACCATGCAGTTCATGAGTGGGATGTACATGCCGCTCTAGCATTGAAAGCGGGCGTTTCCAAACAAGTGCTACAAACTGTGTTCGATTTACCCGTTACGAGACACGGAGAAGTGGAGAGGGAAGGTCTATTGGGATTCAGCAAGGAGGAGTACGCGGTCATGGTATACACGGATCAGATGACTGTGGGTGTGCAGGTGGAAGATGGGGTTGCGGAGATGGTTAAGTCAGTGCTGGAGGATACCATGGTTGTCGAGTTGACAGCGACGGTCGCAGCGTATAATGCCGTGAGCAGGTTTTTGGTAGCCTTGGATGTAGGAGAGTGCAATGACCGGGGCATGAAGAAGGTTGATGAGCTCTGAAGGGTTGACGAAAATGTACATGTTCGTCGACGCGTGTGACGGGAGAGCGGAACTGGGCCGCTTCATCTTCCCCAGACGCTAGCCTCTCCGCAATACCATGAGTTAGGAAGGTGCCTCGGTCCATCAGCCGTCGCAAACCGAACGGGTATTGTCGAAACATGCCACCACTTTCTTCCTTCATGAACTCTTTTTTTTTTCAGTTACTCAATCTTCATAGTAAATAGCAACCACAATGACGTCCCTAGCCCCCCGCCTCTTCACGCGCAGCATCCGCCAAACACGCGTCCGCCCCGCCGCCGTCCTCTCCACCACCGCGCGGTATGCATCGACAAAGCACCCCAAAGCCTTCACACCACCTACGCAATCCGACCTCGACGAACTCCGCGATTCAGTCCGTGACTTTGCCCAGCGAGAGATTCCCGAAGAAGTCGCCGCGCGTACCGACAAGCAGAATGAATTTCCAAACGACATGTGGCAGAAGTTTGGCGAAGCCGGCTTCCTGGGCATAACAGCCGACGAGGAATTTGGCGGGCTGGCCATGGGATACCAAGCACACTGCGTCGTCATGGAAGAGCTGTCACGGGCGAGCGGCAGCATAGGACTGAGTTATGCGGCGCACAGCCAGTTGTGCGTCAACCAGTTGATGCTGAACGGCAATGCGGAGCAGAAGAAGAAATACTTGCCAGCCTTGATCAGTGGAGAGAACATCGGAGGATTGGCTATGAGTGAGCACAGTGCGGGAAGTGATGTAGTGAGCATGAAGACGACGGCCAAGGAGGTGGACGGTGGCTATCTGCTCAATGGAACCAAGATGTGGATCACGAATGCAAGAGTCCCTCGTCACAAGTCTTCTGAAGAGGCACATGCATACTAATACAAACTTCACAGGGCCCAGACGCGCACGTAATAGTCGTATACGCCAAGACCGAACCCAACGCCGCTTCCAAAGGCATCACAGCCTTCATCGTCGAGACGTCCACAAAAGGTTTCAGCGTCGCCAACAAACTAGACAAACTCGGTATGCGCGGCTCCAACACAGGCGAGCTAGTCTTTGAAGACGTCTTCGTCCCCAAGGAGAACGTCCTTGGCGAGATAAACCGCGGCGTCCGGGTCCTGATGGAGGGCTTAGATCTCGAGCGCCTTGTCCTCTCCGCAGGACCACTCGGCCTCATGCAAGCCTCGCTCGACAACGTTCTGCCCTACACACACCAAAGAAAGCAGTTTGGCACCCCAATTGCACACAACCAGCTTGTACAGGGCAAGTTGGCGGATATGTACACAAAGTACCGCGCCAGTCAGGCCTTCACATACAGCGTGGCACGCGCCGTCGATGAGTCGCATGCCAGCCCTGAGATCAAGACACAGGACTGTGCGGGAGCCATTCTATATGCCGCAGAAAGGGCAAGCGAGGTTGCGGCTGATGCGGTCCAACTGATGGGCGGCATGGGATACATGAATGAAGTTCCTGTAGGAAGGATACTCAGGGACGCCAAGTTGTACGAGATTGGTGCTGGAACAAGTGAAGTGAGGAGAATGGTCATCGGACGAGCGTTCAACAAGGAGTGGAAGCAAGAGATATGAAGACCAACACAATGACGAAGTGATGCGCATCAAAACAAAAGTTAAATACCCGGTATGGATTGTGTATAGAAATGCAAATCATACACGCCTCAATATGATTACAATGACATGGTGTCCGTCTGATTCTATGACCTATCAAAAGTCCCCTCCACCTCTTACTTTGTTCTAGTCTGGATGCAACTCGCAATCATCATTTTCCTTTCCCAACACTGCCCATCACTCACATCAATCCTGACCCATCGTATCCTTCTGCATCGGGTTCAACCGCGTACTTCGGTTGGTCCTCGGGCTTCAGCGACTCGGGATCAATGTACCGGCATGTAAGCGCAAACCGCAGCTTACCCGTATGTTCAACAGCATGCTCATAGTATTTCTGTACATCCGCACCATGCATGACGACGATATCGCCGTGTCCGAGCTGCATGGTCAGCACATCTCTCGCAGTGCCTCTGTGAGTGAGCCCCAATTGCTTGGGAATCTGCTTCCTCCTCGCATTCCATGCCTTGGTGTCTGATCTTTTGAGAACGTCAAGAGCAGGTTGTAGCGCGAGACGAGCCTCGTATTGTTGGCACCCTAGGATTGGAGCAGCGTCATCGTACAACCCTGCGACAGAAGACACGCCATGATAGTGACGTGCTTTCATTCGGATCCGCATTGTCCCCGGTGCCCCCAAACTCAATGTCGCAATAGTCGGGCCGAGACCAAACTCGCCATCGTCATGGTAATTGATCTTCTGCTCTTCGAAGTATCCTAATGCTAGGACCTCATTGAACTCCTTCTCTTGCCATTCTTGGCGAACGTTGTCCATGCTCTTGCCATTCTTCTCTGTTAGGAGCAGTTTAGCGGCCCAGTTCAATCGACTACGGGTGCTTTTGATTGGACGGGCTGCTCCATCAAAGGGGTGAGATGCCGTAGCTGCGATGAACTTGTACGGCATTCCATAGTTGACAGCGAAATGGCGGCAATAGTTAGGTCCCTTCAGCTGGCCATTAGGCATTGGTCGACGCTGTAGCCCAATATCTGTTTGTTGGAGTTCCTCAAACATCGCGTCTGGTCCGCCATCTTCTTCAAGAACAGTCTTGTTAGCAACCATATGCGTTATGAAACCGTCTACTCCAGGTATCTCGTAACGATTGATGCGATACCCATGCTCAAAGGACACTTCTAACTTAAGCATAGGTGACATCGTATCTCTAGATAACGTGTAGCTACTAGTGATCGGCCAGAGTGGGTCACGAAGGGAGACCGCGGGAATGAGCGTATGTGAAGGTGTTCTTGTATATTGACATGCGGTATTGGAGCACTCCCAGTTTGTCCAGTTCAAACGGGATGTGCAGCGTCCACAGTCCGGGCAGACCATGCCAGACCAAAATGCGACTGATGTATTCTCACCTGGAACAGCGTATTTAGACAATTCAGCAGCATTGGATGCCAGAGGGTAGCCATGATCATCATTGTACCAAGGTGTCTTCTGCTTGAGGAAGCGCGGATCGTAGACCAAGGACTCTTCTTTGGGCTCCTGCGCTGGCGTACCCTTTCCAGGTTCGGCTGTGTTAGTGCGAATCTTCCAAAAGGCGGTGCATGCTGGCTGTAGACACATCCACCCATTTAGATACACCTGTGGAGACTGCAGATTGCAGCTTCCACATACCTTCTCGACTGGAGATGGCAGCGAGCCGAGCTCCATCACTTCGTGTACATCCTTCGCGCGCCACCAGGACTCTTTCTTCGTGTTCAACTTCTCGAATCGGTATCGCACAATCTTGCTGTCACCACTCCTTTCAGCCCAGACGTGAGTAGGTTTGAAATGATCCAGAACACAGTACTGGTGCGGTGGCTTTGATGGGATATTTGGGTTATCAACTCCAGTAATAATGACGACTGAGTTGCGATGAATCATGCAATTCCTCAATCCCAAAGCAGCAGAATCTTCTGATTGATCCCTTTTCGACTTCATCTCACCAGAGTCTATGTCTTTCATGAGACCACCACCTGCTCTTGAAATAACAACATTACTGTCCATGTAGTCTCGGCTATGCGCAACCTTGTCGATCATAAAGCCTCTCGCGAAGCCACCGGTAGAATAGCAGGCACTTTGGTATGCGCGATAGTAATGTAGTGTCTCGCAAAGCTCTTGTCGTCCATCTGCCCATACTTCCGGTTGTCCGTGTGGCTCTGGCTTGTTTGGACCTTTGTTCTGTTGGACAAGGAGTCGCTCGGTTATATCACGGAGGTAGTCGGTGTCGGGTGTATAGACTTGTTCTCCAACGAGAGGACCACTCAATTCTTCGCACTCCGTTGTTGCTTCCGATGCCGCATACAAACTCGGAAGTGGCTCGGTGTTATCACGACATGACGGTTCAATCTGGTTGTGCACTTGGCCATCTTCAAGCTCAACGTCCAACTTGCTGTATACAGTATTCGCGTCGCGGTAGAATGCCGAGTCGGGTGTCAGGTAGGTAAAGCGATCGTGGATCTCGGGCGAACGCGGCGAAGATTGAGTTTGCGTATGATGGGCAAACGCTGGGATACCACGGATACTTTCTTTGGGTGTCTTCGGCTCACGATGTTGTGATACAGTCGCTTGGCTAGTGAGAGGGTTTTCTGGTGCAGTAGATGGGGTTGCAACATCTTGACTAGATGCAGGTACAGGTTCTGGTATACGCCGAGCACATTGGCCTCGTCTGTCCAGCGGAGGCGAGTTCTGTATATTCTTGTAGGCAAAGACCTGTTTGCATGTTAGTTTTACTGCTAGGAACTTGGATTAGCTCAACAAACAGGACTCGAGGGCAACGATGCTGGTGGGGACGACAGCTCACTCTCGGACTCGTCGCTATATTGTTGCCTCGGTTGATTTGTAGGTATAGCGAGCGTCGAGCCTGTAAGCGAAATCTTAAGGCGGACTATCTTGGACAGCCTTCCTGGTAGTCCCGGCGAGTCATCGACGATGTTAACGACAGTATCAGTTACCGCATGAGGCTCAATCCACGATCGCCGGCTTGTAGAATTCTTCGTAGCTAACGATCGTTTCGAAGGAGGTTTTATCAGCGGTTTCGTGACTCGTTTTGGCGTCTCTTTCTTCTTGAAAACAGGTTGATATAATTGATCGGCGAACCTTTCTGGGCGTTTCCTTTCTCGCTTAGGGCGCTGAGAAGCCATACTTTCATAGTTACCCCGATCTTCTTGCAGTTCGGCTGTCGCTTTTTGTGCAGTGAATCTGGGCGGTTTCGCTACTTGTGTAACCTCCCCGTCGGAGTCGCCGTCGTCAAACTTGCGCTTCGAGGATGCCATGGCGAAATGAGTGAGAATGGTAGTTGCAGGTTGATAGAAGAAATCTCGATTGCTTACAAGCGATAGTTAAAGGGACGAGAAAGATAAAGTGAGTCTAGAAACAACGGAGTGAAATCAGAAGTAGTGAAAAGGGTGGTGTCATGTCTGTCATGTGGACAATAAAACCTCGATTGAGCTTGTGCGACAATTGAAAGACAGCGACAAGGAAACGCTGGGACCTGCCGTGCCTCTCTCACCTGAGCGACATGATGGGAGTGAGCAAACGTGTGAGGTTATAGAAGTGAAGAGGGCTATCAGGGGGTCGCAAGACGTCATTGAAGGTCGCTCTTGCTGTACCGTACCATACTCGGTAACAGCACCTTCGAGCACACTTGAAAACCATAGCTGAAAGGTATGATGAACCTCACGCCTCTGGACAATACTTGATCGCAAGTATGCAACTTTACATTCTAGGTGCTTGTGTCAGGATTCTGAGTCGTGTTTTGCTGTCGCCGACTCAAGGCCGGATTTAAGGGTGGATTAGCCTCATTAGTACATGACCTCGGTACTACCCCAGCTTTCCCCACAATTGGGGGCTGGCATAAGCTGTCGGCTGCGAAAGAGACGGCATCCGACGATACTAACGTCATTGAGGAAGATGGGCGCATACGTTAAAGCTGGAGCGATGATTCCTCCTTTAACCTCTACCTGCATCGCCAATTTGCGGCTTACCATATGTGCGTACCTGCATCTCTCTCAAAGCTCCGCGCATAGCTGACGTACCGTTAGACACGATCCAATATGCCTTTCCATCCTCCGTCATGGGTGCCGCAGCTTCCCTTCGACCCGCCAGATTCGATTCCCATCTGCGACTTTATGCTAGATGAGCATTATGGCCGTCATCCGCTTGGCTACTCGAATAAACCCTTCATCTGCGGACTGACTGGGAAGGCTTACACATGTTTGGACATGCGTGACCGTGTTGATTATCTTGCCCGGGGTCTGTCAAAGGAGCTCGGCTTCCATCCAAACGAGGCAACCGAATGGGACAAAGTCATCGCTGTCTTCTCCGTCAACACGGTAAGCATATTTTGATTATACATCCACAAGGATACTAACATTGGGCAGATCGATACGCTGCCGCTGGCATGGGCCACGCACCGTTTGGGCGGCATCCAATCACCCGCCAACGCCGCATACAGCGCCGCCGAACTCGAGTACCAATTGAAAAACTCAGGCGCAAAAGCCCTCTTCACCTGTGTTCCCCTATTGGAGACTGCGCGACAAGCAGCGAAGAAGAGTGGTATCCCCGAGAATCGCATATACATACTGGAAGTGCCGGAGTCGTTTGCTGGAAAGAAGACACCGCAAGGGCTCAAGACAGTGGACGACCTCATTCGTGAGGGCCAGAAGCTTGATCGTCTGCCAAAGTTAAATTGGGAGAAGGGCGATGGTGCTCTGCGAACGGCGTTCCTTTGCTACTCCAGCGGTACCTCTGGTCTGCCCGTAAGTAACGAATATCCTCGTGTACGCGTAACTTCACACTGACATCCTGTGCAGAAAGGTGTCATGATCTCACACAGAAATGTCATCGCCAACACAAGTAAGACGCCCCGAATCCGCATCATGCAGTAGCTAACCACAAGTAGTGCAAATTTGCACTTACGAGAAGCCGTTCAGAGACACCATCATCAAGGACGTGCGAAACCAGTCAGACTACACCGAGATCGCCCTCGGTCTTTTGCCCATGTCACATATCTATGGCTTGGTTGTCATCTGCCATGCGAACGTCTACCGTGGAGATGGTGTGGTGGTTCTCCCCAAGTTCGAGTTTGCATCGACTCTCCAGGCGATTCAAGACTACAAGATCAACTCGTTGTTTTTGGTTCCACCTATCATCATCTTGATGACCAAGAACAAGCCCCTACTCGACAAATACGATCTCAGCTCCGTGTGGTCGATCTTTACTGGTGCCGCACCTTTAGGACAAGAGACGGCAGAGGATCTAGCGAAGATTTTCCCCACGTGGAAGATTAGACAGGGATACGGCCTCACAGAGACGTGTACCGTTGTTTCTTCGTCTTCCCCTGACGACATCTGGTTCGGATCTTCTGGCTCCCTACTCCCCAGCATCGAGTGTAAGATTGTCACCATCGAAGGTGCTGAGATCACCGGTTATGACCAGCCTGGCGAGCTGCTGGTCAAGTCGCCTTCAGTCGTGCTAGGTTATCTGAACAATGACAAAGCCAACAAAGAGACTTTCCAAGATGGGTATATGCGTACCGGAGATGAGGCTGTTTTCAAGAAGGGACCAAACGGTCACGAACACGTATTCATCGTCGATCGCATCAAGGAGCTCATCAAGGTTCAGGTACGGGCACAACCCATTGTATGACAATATATGCTGACAAACTCTAGGGCCATCAAGTTGCACCTGCGGAGCTTGAAGCCCATCTTCTGACGCATCCTGCTGTGAATGACTGCGCCGTCATCCAGATCCCTAATGAGAAGACCGGAGAGGTACCAAAAGCCTTTGTCGTCAAATCGCCATCAGTCGGCTTGGAAGAAAATGACCGTATCCTCGCGCGCGAGATTCAAAAGCACGTTGAAGAACACAAGGCACGATACAAGTGGATCAGTGGTGGTATTGAGTTCATCGATGAGATACCGAAGTCGCCATCAGGAAAGATTCTACGGCGGCTACTGAGGGACAAGGAGAAGGAAAAGAGGAGACAAGCAGGCAGCAAGCTGTAAGAGACAGCAACATGCAATAATATACTGTTTGTGTAGATGCATAGCTTCAAAGTCTACATTCCTACTGGCTCTGTGCAGCCCCGTTCATAAGACTGTCGTAGGCCGCGGCGGTTCATCTTGTCCGCACTTGTTCGATTCCCTCGTGAAACGTCTTGATATCAACGCGTGTTCCATTTGACCCGGTGTATATCGGCGTTGCGCCCGTACTAACGCAACCCAGCTCCACCCTCTTATGCAGATTTTTGACAGACCCCGCCAGTTTTCGGCGACCATGTCCCTCTAGCTATGTACAAACCGCTGATATATACGGTATAGTTCTTTTTTGCACCATCAATCAACCAAATAAAAGCGGTTACAACCGGTTTTGTAGTGTAGCGGTTATCACTCCGGATTCTGATCTCCTAATCAGTGTCTTCCGGCAACCCCGGTTCGGTAAGAAACACAGCCCCCAGTCAATTCTGGCCATCTGCTAATAATAATTCAGATTCCGGGCAAGACCTTCAGAACTCTCTTTTTGCTGTAACGTTCGATGTCGGGCAAGACCTTCTTTTTGCATGCGTAGAGGTCGTGGGTATGTAGAGAAGAGAAGGGGGTAGAGTTGGGTGGTGGTGGACTTGGAAGATTTTTTGCCATTTCAACTTGCAGAAATCTGAACATCATGACAACGCATGTGAAATCATAAAAACGTCTGCATGTATGCTACAGACAGATATCCGCCTTCACGCCCCCGTATACACTATGCATGCTTAGGCTTGCTGCGTCGCGTTGTGAAGGTTCGCGTGCCGAAGTTTCGCCTTTTCTGTCTCCACCCTAGACACCACACAATTTATCGCAGAAGCAAAAAGGCCAACGTGTCCCATGAGGAATAACAGTTCTACATTGTTGCATTGCCAAACGCATCTCTATTCAATGATTGTGATATTTTTCAAGATCGTTGTTGTGCAGAACTCCGTGTCCAAAAAATTCGACCCAACCAAGTTCTCCGTACCAACAAAAAGCAAGTTCCTACACGACGTGTAGAAGCTATTGCAGATGACTCAGCCGAGGTTTGAACTCGGGACCTTCAGTGTCCAAGAAACAACTGTTGTTGTTAGACTGACGTGATAACCAACTACACCACCGAGCCCGCTTTGATGACTAACGGCGAAATTACGAACGATATAATGCTGCTGGTAACGTACCGCGAGGCTCGCAAGAGTAAAGTGCCAGTGAATATAGCTCTGATGGGATGCGGATAGCTCGGTGGCACTATCCCCACTTCGAGAGATCAGGGGTCGAATAGAATGGACACCTTAACGTCACGACATTGCACGAAGACGAATAGACAATGGCCGATAGCGGTATTGATTGTAGCATTCTTTGCAAACTATCAAGTTTAACCAGCTAACTTCTTCCCAACCAACATCATCCACAACCAAGTAGCGAGTGAGTGCGAGATGCGCCCAGACTCAACGCCCCACCAACAGAGTGGACGTGGAACTCTCATGCAAGGAAAAGACACAAAAAGGAGACAAAAGGCGCTCAAAAACCATGTGGTAAAGGTAGCGAGAGGGGTATCAAGGGTGCGCAGCTGCGAAAGCCGGCTTGGAGAAGAAACATTACAAATAGGCGGTATAGACGATATGTTGTGCGCGAGCACGACCGCTTTCTAGCCTTGCAGACAGGCCCCTAGGGTGTGTTGAGCGAGTGAGAGAACAGAAGACTGAGAAGTAAAGTGACAGCAAGGAAATATGCAGTCGAGGCCAGTGTGCCTCCGCAGTGATGACGTGTGGTCGTATGGGTCGTAGCCCTAGTGGTAGGAAATATGAGAGAAGATACAAGTGAGCGATCGAAAACAGCCCAAAGACAAACAGAGCAATGCACGATAGAAGACAACCGATCGACCGTAAAGCATACCCGTCACACATGAGCGAATCGTAAGCGCAGTGAATTGCTTTAGAAGCCACGGAAAGGATCGTTCGAGTCGAAGTCGAAGAGACCGCCGCCACGATTAGATTGGTCACGTGTACTGGCGCTCCACTGGCTGCTGCCACGACGACGGCGGTGCTGCATGTGCGGTGCTCGCCCGCCGTAGCTGCTCAGTTGCTTTGGGTCACCAAGAGCGTTGTCGATGAAAGCTTCCATGCGAACGGTGCCCATGGTGTCAAAAAAGTGTTGACGAGTAGACGTGCTGGCCTCTGATGTTCGAGAGCTCATAGCACCGCTATTGGGGTTGTAGACCGAAGAAGGCACGGATGGTGGTACGCCAGCGCTGTACATGTCGGAAGAGCCGTTTGAGTATACGGAGGGTACGTGCTGATGCGAGAAACTGCGGAACGGGACACTTGGTGGAGGTGCGCTGGGTCCAGTAGAGCTTCTCTTCCTACCGTGTTGAGGACCACGGGGAATGACCGGAGGGCTAGCAGCGTCTGGCATAGCGCTTTCAAACCCAGCAAGAGAAGGTAGACTAGGCATTGGTTCATCCTGAGATGCATAGCGAGCCATGACCGGATTGGTCCTACCCTTAGCAAGGCGCACAGAATCCTGAACCCGGCTGCGGCGGAGTGTTGCGCCCTGCTGACGTTGTGGTTCATCGACTGGCGGTGGTACAGGTGGCAGAGATCCAAGATCTGGCATCGGTGCGCTCGAGTGAGCGAGGAAAGAAAGTGCTGTCAGCCACAGGTAGTGCCTTTCGCGTGTGGAGGTAGTGAACTTGAGTGCACGGGCAGGAGTAAGGATAAGAATGGAGCGGTTGAAGAGTGTTTCGTTCTTGGGAGGAGGGCAGTTGTCGGCGACATCGAGAACAGACTGGATGACGACTGAAGATTTGTTAGTATAGAAATATTTGTGACCAGTTTCAAAAACTCACGTTTGCGACCACTCTTCCCCATCAAGGCAGAGCCAGTGGTTGGCTGCTTACTACTCCACAAGATGGCTCTTTCGTATGGCGAGATCCAGACCCAGCGCTTATGCCTTACGCCATGGTTGGCCAATGAAGCCTCTTCTGCGGCGCGACTGACGTCTGCAGGCGTGTCAGGGCCACCAAACGCCTTCCTCTTACGAACGTATTTCCACATGAATTCTCCAATCATAGCTGCAGCAATGGCATCGACCACACTAGTGTGCGATACTGCGCTGTTGGTGGACCCGTTGGCGGACCCGTTGGCTGTGAAACCAGTTGCTGCAGTGGCTGTCGATAGTTGGTGTCGGTGGTGGAAGCCGCTCGCGCTCACAATGTCGCTGGGTAGCGGAGGAATTGAATCTGTGTCGGCGTTGCTTGGAGTCGCAGGCATTATGGGCGATCTGCTGCGAGAGCGTGCGCCCTTTGCTACGGGAGCAGCAGATCGTACCTTGCGTAGACTGTCTTTCCGCTGATGCTTCACGCCATACGGACGGCGGCCGGCATACGAGCCACTGTTGCGAGGGGTTGGGCTCTGCGAGCCTTCGCTCTTGCTCAATGGCTTGTTGCGCGAGCTGGATCGAGTAGGTACTGGGAAGGGTGGCTTGGGTATGTGATTACCAGAACCTAGACTTCCAATACTGGGGCTACGGGAGCGGCTGTGAGCTGCGGTACCACTCTGGATCATGGCAGATCGTCGGATGCTGGGCTGGCGACTGATCGAGTTGCGCTGTGCTTTGCCAACCCTCGAAGGCTTCTCCATCGAGCTACGCTTGGACGCTAATGAAACGCTATTAACAGAGTCAACAGATGGCCTGGACATGGGTGTGGTCTCTTTGTCTTCCGGAACCGGCGTGGGCGGGTTCACTGGTCGTCCACTCTTTGCATTACGTGACGACAGCATCGGAGTAGAGTACTGTAGGCTCCTGTAGTCATCGTCACTCAGATCAGCATCATCATCCTCTTCGTCAGATGATGGACCGTCGAACCCGGCGAACAGACTGCTTGTTCTGAAGGGTCGACTCAGTATGTCTGAATGAAGCTGGCGCGACAAAGGTCCATTGTCGTTGTTTCCGGGGTAACGATTCTCAATCTTCTTCTCACCGGCCTTCTCGAGACGAGTAATGAAATCTTGACGGGTTGTCGACTTGAGGGCAGAGTGTTCTGTATCGCTCGAAAAGTCCTTCTTGATAACCTTGCTGTCAGCCTCGGGAGTTCCAGGCTTGGAGGAGATCGCAGAAGGAAGGAGATGCGCAGGAAGCTTGATAGCTCTCTGATCGATTCTGATAGGTTCAGTCTGCATTGAAGTTGAGCGCATTGGAGCTACAAGATCGCCGCTTGTCTGAGTTGATATGGTCTTAGTGCCTGGAGGAAGGATAGGGGCTTTTGGCGATGAAGGAGCGGATGTAGGAGCATGGATGGCAATCGAAGGGATTGTGATCGGGGTCGGTAGCGGAGACTTCTTGGGCGTCTCAGCCACAGCCTCAGGCTCGACCATAGAGTCTGTTTGTGTGGCTGTAGACACAACCTCGGTCTGTACGACAGGTGACAGAGTTGCTTTTTCTGCAGGCATAGGAATCCTGGGAGTAGGCGGCGGGCTAAGCGGCTCAACGGTTTGTACCGAGCTTGACGTCGTAGTGCAAATTTCAGGACTGATTTGGCGTGATGGACTAGAAGCCAAGGGCACTGAAACACGCTTTCGGCTCTGGTTCGCCTCAATCTCAGCAGCGGTAGACGAGAATTCACCCGACTTCATCGGCACGGATGGCTCAATCGTCTGCGATGCCGCTTCGACCATGACAAGCTTCGTAGGCGAAGGCGGTGGCGATGGTTGTACGCCGGTGTCAACATAGATAGGACGTGTTGGCGGAAATACTAGAGTGATATCGCGAGGCGTGAGTGTTACAGATGACTGTACTGTTTCATACGACGACTTCCGCGGCTCGGTATCATCGGCTGTCATGACAGGGCTATCCCGGGTACCCTGTTGGGTATCATTACTCAACCCTAGGATGCGCTTTGCTTTTTCGTCTGGTAACATCGACATCCGGGATTCGCGAGCTCTTCTTGCCCGCATTTCATTTTCAGGGAAATCATCCGAATCGAGCTCTAGTTCGTCCAGCTCCTCCTCCTCTTCGTCGAATATAAGCTCGTCTGCTAGGCTCATACCATTGCCTCGGAAGTGTCCATCAGAGCTCATCAAAGACATCCGGTAGTTGCGTCCAATGCTCTTGTAACTGCTGCTGCTTCGATTCCTTGAATGGCGTGCAAGGCGAGTGGAGGGTCTTCGCCGAGGTGACGATTGTACGCTTCCTGCGTCACTCTCTGGTATGCCAGTATCCCGGCTTGGATCGTCTGCCTCGCTCTCGGCACCAGCGTCCTCATTGGCAGCCTCGTGTATAGCGATCTCATCCAAAAGCATCTTTAACCGGGTTTCAGACACATGAACACGTCGCTCCAGCATTCGTTTTTCCCCCGCCCACTCTTCTTTTTCCCGAGCCCACATATCGTGCACCTTGGTAGAGTCATCATCTTGGCTTCGTGTTCTCTTTTCTGCTGCTGCTAGCTTCTCCCGTAGATCGGCGTTGGTTTCCTTGAACTTGTCTCTTTCACCTGCAATCTCTTCTAGTGCAGCGAGCGTTTCGGTCTCAAAGTGCTGAAGCTGGCGTTTGGCTGTCTTGCTTTCCTTAGTGGTTGATGATAGCTGTTTTGCAAGAGTGTCGTTGTCGGTGCGCGCCGTATGCAGACTGGTTTCTAGATCGTCGATGAACTTATGTTTCGAATCTAGCTCCCGACGGAGGTTCAAGATCTCTGAAACCAGGTTCGCATGCAAGGTTGGAGTAAAGCGGCGTGGGTCCAACACCGAGATGTTCTCGTCGTTGGCAGCATCTTCGGAGCTAAAACTATGATCTGGCGGGAAAGGAGGCGGTGAACTAGGAATGTCGCTTCCTGGAGTGGTGTCATATCTCGACGTCGTCCGGGACAAGGAGCTGTATGGCGTTCCAACGGGTGTGGGAAGAGGGTGGTTGGTAAGGAAGGTCTCCTGATCCGAAAAGTAATCGGTAGACATGATATTGAGCGCGTAGCTTAGATGTCGGTTGGTTTATTACACACTCAAAGATTCAGAACCACAGTAAAGTGGTGCTGTATGTATATGGAATCTAACACATGCCTGTAACGCCATTAGCATTTGATCGAGATCGGGTCGGTTGCCGTCGGTGCTGTAATCAGGATTGTCTTCACGACCTCTTCGGCGGCGCGTCTTTACAACCAAGATGTACCATTGAGACAGTATCGACCTCCAGCATACGTGACGGTGAGCGACGTACCGGTCGAGCCCTTTGTACTACAATCGGGTATTGGAGTTCCAGCCACTTGAGAAAGGACGAGTCGTGGTATATAAAAGTATAAAGCGTCGGACCGTATTACGTGGGGCAAGTATATCGACGAGAAAGCAGCGTTCAGATGGTCTCTGTTCTGGAGCGAAGGTCAGTACGGTGTAACTTCAAGCAAGAGACGTCCAGAGACAGCAATCGAATCACGATTACAAATAGACACTTACAACCGAAGGAATGACGTTATGAGTTGGTGATGGTCGACAGATTCAGAAACGTTGCTCAATTCATTGATACATGCGATGCGAACGAGATGAAGAAAGCGACTAACGGCGCGGGCTAAAACACTTTTGATGGTAAGAAAAGAACTGTCAAGCAACGGGCAGTGGGCCCTACGAGAAAGATAGCCGTGTGTCGTCAACGGCACGGAGCGTAAGGAGGAGAGGGAGGGACAAGGCACAACTTGAGCATGAAATCGCTGTGATCGCCCATGCATCAGCTGGGATCCCGGAACGCAGGCACAAGTCCGCACAGTCCACTGGGGAGGCGGGACTATGCCCAAAGACACGAATAGGATTCATAGGATCAATCAAACCCCATCTGTGCCTGTTAAATTTGTTTCGATGTCCGAGTCCATTTGCTTATGCACGTCTCCGCACTAGCGAGCACAAGTATCCCTGCATGCAGCTGAGCCGAGGAACCCCTGTATTACGACCACACTATTGGCTCGAGCCCACCCGCCTTCCGCTTTTCAGGCAAGCTTCATTGGCTGTGCATTTAGGTCCAACGTTCCCTTAAATGCGTCCCGCGACGACGGCCAATGCCTTAGCGAGGTGAAGGAAATGACCCGACAAGGGGTAGGTGGTAACGAATGCGGGTGGTAACGGCGTTGATGAAGGGGGTGTGATGATACGCCTCAGCAGCATTAGTAGATGTGAGGCGCATGTTCTTACCATATCCTTGGGGGCAGCTGGCTTCAAACAGACGTCGCGGCCACGGTAATTTGCATAATGATTATTGTCGCCGTCCAAAGGTCCACAAAAGCCTCGCCCTATCAGTAACTCTGGACTACCTTTGGCGTTGATGATGAGCCGTGACTGGGAGTTTCAGCCTCTTGACCACGCCGCACACTTAGCCCACCGAGGAAAGCATTGGACAAAGTGGCACGATCATGTCCCGGCCCGAGCTATCAAACTCGCGATGGCGCCCAACGATCGGGTGCGCCGGTGCGAGGCCGTTGTGCTGTAGCCTGCAATTAGAACTTTGATCTTCATACTTTGATCCTGTTTCGGCCTGACAATTTTGGTGTCTCTGTGGTGTCTCTGTGGTGTCTCCGAGGTGTCTCGAAAAGGAGACATATGTCGACTGCCGAAAAGGTAGGCAAATGCATGAATGAGCAGCCTGATCCTGTACTGCCGAGTCAGGTGTGAGAAGAGGATTTCCTACTTCGAGACGAAAGGATTTATCCGTGCACTCTTGGCGGTGCAAAGGAGCCGAACTCGAGTCCAGATCGACGACGCAATTCTCCAAGCTAGAAATGCCAAATGACACCAGCCTCAGCATTCTTCTTTTGCAAGATTGTCTGATCACAATGCCAGAGCAGAGACGTGATGGCTATCAGTCATGACCCGCCAAGGCATCTAGGCGGAGATGTCGGTACATGTGAAAGTTGAGGATCCCAGCATCATCAAGGCCGTCCAGCTACCCCAACAAAATGAAGAGCCGAGTAGGCACCTACCATGACCGTTGACCAGGTTGAGCTTGTTGATTGATTTATCCCCCACAGACGGAATAGATACAGTTCGGAAGCGCGTTCGAGACGTGATGAAGTGACGTCCTGTTGAGCGCCTCATAATAAACAGACTTGCCAGGTGATGGAGATACTGGGGATCCATTATTCGTGAATCACATCGGGCAAAGTATCGATTCGGTATGCAGGCTGCGAGAATCACAAGGGCAATGTGATCCACCAGCGGAGAGTGGACCTGATGTGCGGGCAGCTGCAGGACGCTACACGAAGGTCTGGCAATCAGCAGAACATTCCATAATGCCCACTGATGCGCGACATAGCAGCTCACGATCCAACAGCCGACGATTGTATGCCTCGTCAGGTGTTGTTCGGTATTGCTCGGCGCTATTGAGGTGTTGTCGTCTCAGAAAAGCAAATAGGAGACTTGCGTCGTAATCGGCTACCGCTCCCTGAACCTTCGGCGTCGACGGAAAGCTTAGACGGTATAGCATGACGCGGAAGCGCCGGTGCCGGCCCATCTCACTTTAGCGTGCCCCTCTCGTTGTCTGCGCCATACCTCCTGGCTTTGCTGGGTTGCCGCGTTCTCAGTGGTTCATCTGCTCAGGTCGCTGGCAGCCAGTGATGGCCGAAATCGTGGGTCAGGGTTCGACAGCCCCGCCCAGGTCTGACTAAGCGACCATCACCGAAAATTCGACCATACAGTCATAACAAGCATATCGTGAAATTGCAGACAGCGCATATAGACGGATCGATACAGGCAAACATGGCGCAATCAGATCAGAATGGACCACAGGCGGTGTCCGCCGAACTACCGCCAGCGATGGCAGAGGTCAAGTCGCAGAGTGTGGACGACTTGATGAAAGAGATGAACCGCATGCCAATTTTCATGACAAGTTTAGATGAAACAGACGGCGAGGGAGGTGAGAACATGGCGCTGGAGGCGTTGAAAGCCATGGCGTACGAAGGAACCCGTGCCGAAATTGCTGAAAACTTCCGACAACAAGGCAATGAATGCGCACGGGCGAAGCAGTGGACAGACGCGAAAGAGTTCTACGACAAGGCGATAGCAGCGCTCAAAGGCCCACAAACCAACCCGGACCCCGATGCAGAAGGGCCAGATGTCATCCCTGTCGAGCTCGATGAGAAGGAGGAAGCGGAGAAGGAAAGAGTGATTGGCGAGGCCGTCTATGTCAACCGCGCATTATGCAATCTCGAGAAGAGTGAGTACGGGAACGAAGGCACGATCCACAAACATGCATGGCTGCCTCTTCACAACACCAGTTCGACTACAGAATGCTAACATGCAGCAGAGAACTACCGCTCCTGCATCCAAGACTGCATAGCGACACTCAAGATCAATCCTGCCAACATCAAGGCTTTTTACAGATCAGCCACTGCTGGTCTTGCACTAGACAAGTTGCAGGAAGCAGCCTGGGCCTGCGACCGAGGACTAGCTCTAGATGCTTCCAACGCCCCTCTCAAGGCCCTCAAAACCAAGATTGATGCTCGAAAGCAGTACATAGATTCCGTCGAAAAGGCACGCCGCGAACGAGAGGAGAAGGCTGCATCAGAGCGAGCAACAATGAAACTTGCATTGCGCAGCCGGAATATCTTGACGCGGAGCACGGAGAAGCCCCCAGATCTGGAAGACGCCACGGTCAGGCTGGAAAACAGCTTGGACCCCTCTTCAACACTCGCAGTACCGGTTATTCTGCTTTACCCAATGCACTCGCAATCGGATTTTATCAAGGCGTTCTCTGAGAAGGAGAAGCTAGATGAACATCTCGACTATATCTTCCCACTCCCATGGGATGAGCAACACGAGTACACAATCGACAATGTCGAATCATACATGGAGACCGCAGCGGGTGGTTTGATCAAAGTTGGAAAAAAGATGAGCCTAGGCAAGGTACTGGGAAGCGGGAAGCCGGAGATCGTCGACGGATTGGTGACGATAAGCGTGGTGCCGAAAGACAAGGCTGCTGGTTGGATAGAAGAGTTCAAGAAGCGAAAAGGGAAAACGGCATAAGTTGGCCAAGGGTCATGGCACAACAGCGCGTCTGACCCGACTGCTCCTCGGGCCGAACGATGACGATGTCTAGATGAATCGATGAATGAATGAACAAAAACACGCAAGCTACAGGCGCAACGCGTCCACAGCGCGCCTCACCCATCGCTCATTAGCAAGTTCGCAAAATCTCCGTATATGATCGCTGACGTATTCGCCGCACCGACCATTTCAACGTGCATCGCGTATCCTCACTGCATCACCCCGGCTGGGAAGCTCATCGGGTTAACTGGCTATATCACACCAGTCTTATGAACCTCGAACGCGGACTTGCTCAAATAGTACACAGAGGCTAAATAGGAATCAACATCCCTTCTGGTATTTGACCACCTGCCTGTCCAGATCGCGTTCCCGATGCCTGGTAACGGGACATATGCAAATGCGGCATTCAAGGTATATTGTCTGCATACAAAAGAAAACCTGGCAGCGGCTACGTGCAGCAACGTTTCACGTAGAAATTATTCCCGCTCCTACTTTCCAGGATGCATTTTGCCCTGCAGCTACCAGTACACATCGCGTACCAGGGAAAAGTCGTTCGCACGGCTCGCTTATGCATATGCAAGGTACACTCCGTGTCCTATGGTTCACACGTTGCGCGGCTGGCTGAACGATAACTGGTAGGGTGGGGGCTAGGGTCATACCATTTTAGCCGTTTGGCAATATTGGTGGCCTGGACGCATTCTATTGGTGGTAATATAGAGCAATGTCACTGAGGGGTTGGACCAATCACTATAGTTGTTGGGAACAGTTTTCATCTATTTTCTAAGACTTTTATGTTGGGAAAAACATTTGTGTGATGTGCTGCATGAAGTGGAACTATCATAAAAGCCAATACAAGGGTTGGCAATGTCATCCGTGAACGGTTAACAAACATGAACCCGGGTGTGAATTGTACAAGATCAGCCTTCAGCATAAATGATGGTCCTTAACGCCCAGTCTCTGTATGGCTTGCCCATTGAAGCAGGTGTGGGTGAACGCTAGATCTGTATGATGTATGTAGAAACATTCTGGTCTGAGAGATAAGCACCGGTAAAGTGCGGGTGGTGGAAAGTGAGAGAAGTTAGTAGCCGTCATCTCCAACAAAACTGTATCAGAAGGTACACATGATGACAGTCTACCGTGAATTGGACCAAGACAGCCGTGAGCGCTGAGCTACTCGTTCTCGTAAAGCTTCTTTTTGCGTGTCATCATGTCTAAATGTTGGGATTCAAAATCAGCTTGTATCTTCCATGCAGTCCGTACAGCGACACTTACCCTTCAGATTATTCCAAACGACGTGACTCATGTATTTTTCAGCACTTCGGTAATACCTCTCGCTTTTCCGCGACACCTCGTCTGCCTTGACCTGCTCCAAGTAGCCTAGGAACCTGACATCGGTGCGGCCCAGTTGTCGACGCCCACCAAAATACATCGAGATCTTACGGAGCTTGGCGTCCCGGAGAATTCGCAGACAGTTCATCAGGTAGTCATCGTTCAGATAGCGACGCTGCTCGTTGGAGGTGAGGTAGGGTGTATCTTTGGGGCGTGCATCATCGAAGATGAAATCGACATCGCGCAAGTATTGGATGTTCTCGGGTCCAATTGTTCTTAAGAAATGCAAAACATCCTGATAACCGATCTCTTTGGGTACCGGCTCCCAGTACGGTCCACGGGTATCGTAATGACGATGGAAAGAGAACGTGTTCTCACCATAGAGGATGGAACAGGCTTCGCTGTGCACTAGCTTACAGCTTCTGAGGAACTGAGCGGACTTGGTCAGGCTGTTTTTGGGATCAATGCTTCTCAAGGGGATTCTAAGCCTTGAATCTTTGTCCTTGCGGGCGAACAGATGGCGATATATAGTGTTTCGGAGCTCGCCTGGTAGATCTGTGAAGCCTCTGAGACGCACTGCAGTTGTTCTCACCTGCTCCGGGCTCACAGTACATAGCTTCTTCGACTTGCCTGGCTGCATCTCATGCAATTTGCCATGCTGGTTGATGTGTAGGAGGGTGCTATCAAGCTTAACGAAGAGTGGACCGTGAAAACCTAGCGGTACGTTGAACTGCAAGGTCATTGGTGGCTTCTTAGGGTCGTTTCGATGAAAGGCGCCGCCTTCTTCGTTGTCGGTCAGGTCATCAAGCTCTTGATTGTTGATGACAGGCTCTAGGTGAGGGGATGGAGGCGAGGGACTGCGTTTACGCTTCAGTGCGCCCTTCTTGTTCTTCTTTTTCTTGCCCGAAAGACTGAGTGGATCCATGTCGTCTTCGTCGTCTGGCTCGCTCAGCTCGCTCAACTCGCTGTCGGTCAAGGCGTCAAGCTCGGCCTCCTCAAAGTCGACGTAACCCGCGACCCTCTTGATCTTGCCCGCGCTTTTGCGAACAGGACGGCCTGTCTTTTGGTTGTATTGCGTTACCTTGGAAGGGCTGCCTAGTTCCGGGCTGGTATCGCGACTGTGAGGTGATGCTGATGACGCTGGAGGTGGTGGGTTCGATGTCTTGAGTTTGGGTGCCATGATGGAGTTTTTTGTATGCGAACAATCAGTTGTTGGCGGTGTAGTGAGTGCATGCGTGTAGAAGCAGAGGTTGCGGTCAGGATATGGTGTAGGTGAGTAGACGCGGGGTCGATAAACAGAGAAGCGCGTTCAAGGAAGTGACGGTCATTGCGACGCGCGCTTTCCTGGTTCAATGCTCCAGAGGCTATCACTAGTAGCCTTGGCGGCTAGTTGAAGGAGGAGGAGCGACAGTGTGCTCCATCTCAAAGCTCGTGAATTTCCATGACTACGAAAGGTCGAGCCACTTGTAGACTGTAACCAACATGCCGTTGACGGGACCTAGCTTCGCAAGCCCCAAGAGCTTCTGATGATCTGGTTGCAATCCAGGTTCCAAAAACGCCTCAGGTGGCCCTGTGTCGTGCTCTTATCGTGATGGACACATTGTCTGGGACGGAGTCACAGTACCTGGAGCGTGTGGATGCAGCCGCACCATCCCAGATCTATGTCGCAAGCCTTTGTATAGTACCTTCGGCTCGTTGTGGTGGCATCGTTCGCCTGTTCGTTCCGGATGCACAAAGGTCTTGTCAATTATAATCATGCTGGGATGTAGCTATGACGTTATAGAACGCCCTTCACGCAGAGCGACAAGAATGGTTTCTGACACTGACGATTACATTGGAATGCTACATACATGGCGACGGACTCCGACAGCGGCATTGAAGTAGAGACACTAACATTTCGTGTTCCATTCCAATGCGACGCTGGACAGAGCACAGAAACATCAACAGATGGTTCCTACGCAACGTAGCCGATCATAGATTTTTTCGTCCCCCTAGGTGGTGGGTGCCGGGGCGTGTCAACAGCTCCCACGTCGGCCAGCTTGCGCCAGCCAAGTGAGGATGCAGCTGAGTTGAAAGCATTCATATCATCTCGGGTTTAGTTACGTGAAGAAAAGAAGAGAGGTCGCGCGACGGAAGCGTTCATATTTTACCGCCGGAGAACGGAGAATCGGCGCCGAGGCCATGACCCCTGCAATGCCGCCGTAGCTCCGTGATTAAGCGGGCGCATCGTTTCGTTGCCTCATTGAGACTACGAGTCCGGCTGGCATCAAGTACGTTTATAAGGTCGCGTCACGCTTCTGCCCTGCCTACCAGACTGAGAGACTATGGCGAACCTCAGAGCAGCCTGCAGAGCGCCTTTGCGCCAGCTCACTTCCCGCTCCACAGCTTCAATTGCCACCAACCATGCAAGAATACAGAGGCAACAATGGCGGGGCTATGCGACGAGTATGGATGCACAGCAGAAGGTATGCTTCGCCATGACAGAAATTCACGACTGGCAATGCTAACAAGTCCTAGATCCTCTCCCAGGATCTTGAGCAGGCCGATCCTACCGTCTACCAGATCATCAACAGGGTTCGTTACCACATGTTGAAGCTGTACATGCGAAGACGAAGCTCACGATACTTTTATTGCAGGAGAAGAACCGCCAGAAGCACTTCATAAACCTGATTCCTTCTGAAAACTTCACATCACAAGCTGTGCTCGATGCGCTCGGCAGTGTTATGCAAAGTGCGTTCTGCGTATTCTCACACCACAATTCTAAGCTGACATGGCACAATAGACAAGTACTCGGAAGGATACCCGGGCGCGCGATACTACGGAGGAAACGAGCACATTGACGAGGCCGAGCGTCTATGCCAGCAGAGAGCGCTCAAGGCATTTGGTTTGAGCCCGGATGAGTGGGGTGTCAACGTCCAGCGTGAGTCAGTCGACAAAAATGCTACCATCGCCCTCTAACACAACTCTAGCCCTCTCCGGATCGCCCGCAAACCTCTACGCCTACTCCGCCGTTCTCAACACCCACGACCGTATCCTCAGTCTCGACCTTCCCCATGGCGGCCACCTGTCGCATGGTTACCAAACACCTACCAAGAAGATCTCCGCCGTGTCCAAATACTACGAAACCCTCCCATACAGGCTCGATGAGAAGACCGGTATCATTGACTACGCAAAGATGTCGGAATTGGCACATCTGTACAGGCCCAAGGTCATCGTTGCGGGTACATCGGCATACAGTCGGTTGATCGAGTACGAGCGCATGCGAAAGCTGGCAGACGACGTTGGCGCGTACCTTCTCTCTGATATGGCTCACATCTCAGGTCTGGTTGCCGCCGGCGTCATCCCTTCTCCATTCCCCCACTCCGATATCGTCACAACTACAACACACAAGTCGCTTCGAGGCCCGCGAGGTGCCATGATCTTCTACCGCAAGGGTGTACGGAAGGTCGACAAGAAGGGCAACAAGGAGATGTATGATTTGGAAGGCCCAATCAACGCATCTGTGTTCCCAGGCCACCAGGGAGGACCTCACAATCACACCATCACTGCTTTGGCTGTAGCCCTGCAGCAAGCCTCAACCAAAGAGTTCAAGGACTACCAGCAGCAGGTTTTGGACAACGCCAAGGCTCTTGCTCAGCGTCTTGGTGACTCCAAGGAGAACGGCGGTCTCGGCTACAACATCGTTTCAGGCGGCACTGACAACCATCTTGTCCTTGTCGACCTCAAGGACCGCGGCGTAGATGGCGCACGAGTCGAGCGTGTTCTGGAGCTCGTCGGCGTCGCATCGAACAAGAACACTGTTCCTGGCGACAAGTCTGCCATGAAGCCCGGTGGTATTCGTCTTGGAACTCCCGCCATGACGACTCGTGGCTTCCAGACCGAAGACTTTAAGCGTGTGGCCGACGTCGTGCACCGCGCGGTTGGTATCACCCAGAAGTTGGACAAGGATGCTAAGAAGAAGGCCGAAGACACTGGTCGCAAGAACCCCACCAGCGTGGCTGCATTCAAGGAGTACGTTGGCGAGGGTGAGGACATCACCGAGATCATCGAGCTCAAGAAGGAGGTTGAAGATTGGGTATCTACGTTCGCCCTGCCGTGGGACAAGGCACAATGATGACGAACAATATAATGAAAATATATGCGCTGTAGCGGGGTTTTGGCGTTGGAGGTGAAGGGGAAATTCCATGTACATATGATAGGCTTCTTTCCACTGCTAAAGGACAATAGCATGTTTGCCTCCACCCCAATTCATGCTCACCATCGTTCCATGTCCATTTGCAAGTTTCTTTTTGTCTGTTGGATATCGGATTTCCAACACGATGCTGTTCCCTTTCTCCTTTGTCTTTGTTGGTCCTCTCACTGCTCTATACACACCCTCAGTCATTACCAACACCGTTCATCACGGCGAAGCAGACGCAGCTCGACATGCTATGGGGAAGAGATTGCATCATTACGGTTGTGCGCACTATTGTCACGCTCCATCTCTTCGCCAACTACACCGGAGCCGCATTGGTGCTCGCCCAGAACATCACCGTCACGTACACCTCTACGCTCACTTTACCCGTCTTTGAATGCCTTACTCATCTACCAACCACTACGACTTCGGCAGTATCACCAAGAATGTTTATCGCTACGACACAACCTATCTCGACAACCATCGCAGTACTATGCCAAACCGCTCCACTTACACCAGTTTCCTCACCTCCGCCATCCACAACCACAACAGAGCCGACTTGCCTTTCTGATATCGAAATATCCATTTACAGCACACCGAGATACCCTTTGGGGATTCAACCTGCGACTATATCACTCCTGTGTTATGATTTCGTTGTCATTGCGGCGTTTGCGTGGTGTTGGGTTATGGGCCGGTTTTGGTGGTGGAAGAAAATCGATAGGAGGGATGTGCAGACGGCAAGAGAGACGGAGGAATGGAGACGAACGCTAGTGGTGAACGAGGAGTTTGAGAGAGAGATGCGGAGGTTGGGCATGGTATGATCTTGGGAAAAAAATGAGAATTGGACACACGGACGGATGAAATCTGTTTTGAAGAGCTCTCCACCTTGTTTGTGAGCTATCCATTGCTGCAGAAATTGTTCATTACATCCGTATCCACCAGATTCATTATGTACCACAACTCTTCCTAGCTAGCCATGCATCGTCTGCCCACCCGGCCCCCTCTCCCAAAACTCCAATGTCAGCGCGCTAAGGAAACATGGTATCTCCTTCCTCCCCTCGACCCAATACACGATCTGATCGCGTATCTCGCCTGCAAACTCACTTTGCTCTCCACCAGAGACCTTCATCGTCCCGTTCTCCCCATCAAATACTATGCTGTTCTCCCCTTCCTCATCGGCAGGCTTGAACATACTGGTGACCTTGACCCGTCCGTTAGGCATAAAGTCCAGCTTCCAGCCCAGAATGGATGCAACAGCTTCTCTGAACTCGAGGGATTTCGCTGTCCAAATTTGCTTTAGACGTACAATCTTCTTAGACGAAGAAGCGAGTTGAGCTTTCAGTTCTTCGAGCTCGTCCCTAGCCGCATCGAGTGTGGCTAGAGGGACCGTGGATGGTGGTGTCTTTTGGTTGTCGAGCTGGTCGAGGAGCTGAGCGTTGGCTTCGCGGAGGTTGCGTACGGTGCTTAGTTTGAGGGCTTCCGCGTCGGCGGTAGGGTTGGATTTTAGCTCTAGGACTCGTGTTCGAGAAGACTCCTTTAGCTTCTTAAGCTGTGAGTGCTGAGCTTTGTATTCGGCCTCGACAAGCTTCATCTTCTTCTGCAGCGCGCTGAGGTCATCTTGTAACTGGCGGTTCTTTCGGCGCAGCTCGCCTACGCGTTCTTCGTTCTCATCCGTATCAAGAGCGCGCTTTTGGCCTGTTGTGGCAGCAACAGGCTTCTCTAGGCTGTTGAACTCTTTTTGTAAAGTATCAACCTCTTTACGGTATTGGTCGACAAGATCTTCTAGCTCCTTTATTCGTTCAGTCTTTGCAGCGTCAAATGTGTCAGGCTGCATCTCGCGCTCTTCGTCGTCGAAAGCTTTGACTTGGGCACGTAGGAAGTCGACTTCTTTAGTCGCTAACGCCTTGTGTCGTTCAAGCCTGGCTCGTACCTTTGCGTCGGCACCATTCGACGCGGCAGTGTTTCCAGCTGCCTTGAGCTGCTGAATCCCGGCCTGTAATTTGGCCTTCTCCTCTTCGAGTGCTTGTATGTTGGCCTCTTTGACGATGAGCTCGGGCTTGATCTCGCCAAGTTTGTTGATGAGATCAGTCCTTTCTATGCGCTCTTGGATGAAAGCTCGTGCAAGGTCTTGAGGTGTTTCAAAGAGCACTTCGCCGTGTATCTCTGCTTCTGCCTCGAGGTACGACGTCCACGAATGGCGCTCTTCTTCTAGAACCTGCTTTCTCAGCTCAGCCTCTCCCAGTTGCCGTTCCAAGTCATCCATCGTGCGCAGCTTCGCCTGTAGTGACCTCTTCTCCTCCTCGACTACCTCAATCGCCTTGTGTTGTTTCCGATACTGCTTAAGCTCGGTATTCTGCTCCCTCGTCAGGGTCTCGAGCTTCTTAATGTGTGCGACCTGGTCAGAAAGCTCCCTCTTGATAACTGCCAGTGTCTCGGCATCTCCCGTAATTGCTTTGAGGCGCAACACCTCGGCCTCCATCTGACCGACTTCCTCCTCCTTCTGCGCGAGCTTCTTCTGTGCCATTTGCAAAGCGTTGACCTTGGCTTGTAGATCTGCCTGCACCTCCTCGACACTTTCCTTGAGCGCCTTGTGTTCCGTTTTTAGCGTGTTATATTGGTGCTCATTCTGCCGTTGCGATGTCGACAACTCCTCTTTGACCTCATCGTATTCTTCTTGTAGCGACTGCGCTCTTTCTTGACACTCGCGCAGTCGCCTTTCCAGCGCCTGTCGCTCGTTGGCAGCTCGTGTTTGTACCTCAGCCATTTCCTTGGTCAGCGCATCGTATTTCTTCGCGGTAAGAGTGTTGGATGCCTCGACCTGCTGCGCTTTACGAAAGTCGGCGTCGGCACGGTTTTGGGCATCGCGGAGTTCTTGCGCATGTTCCAACTTCATCATTTCCTTCTCCTGTTTCGCTGTTTCGAGCTCGTATCGCAGGGTATTGAGTTGGGCGCGGAGATCCTCATTGATGGGGTCCGAGGGCACAACCGTGTGCGGCGCATTCTGCGAGGCTCGCAATGTGGTTCGGAACGTTTCGCGGAGAGGTTCTCGTTTGGCGGTGGTAGGCGCAGGTGTCGGCTCCTCTTCCTCGCCAGTGAGGAAGTTGAAGGACGGCTGTGTGGTGTTGCGCACTGCCATGGTGGCAGCGACTCCGTGTTGTTTTGTTTGTTATGGAGAAACTGAGTTGGGGGCGTGTGCAATCGTTGTCAGTACGCTGAGGCAGCGACTATGCCATTGTGTATCGTTGAGTGATTTCTGCTTCTTCCAGCAGTGGCGTCGAGTTCGGGCGAGTGGTGGGTGAATAAACGTTGTTCTTGTTGTCGCAAGCATCGTGTCTGGGGTTCAAGGCGCCGCCCGGACAAAGCCGCCTTGGGCCTAGCGTGTGAGGTGCATTCGGCGCGCAGGCACGTGGCTTTCACTTTACACAGGTCATGTCACAACTCTCGAGTATGCTGCAGACATAGGCTCCTTGGTCGTTCTCAGAGACAGGGTGATTATTAATACGCTCATAGCTGCATCTCAAGTGAAGATTCTACCGATTCCTACTCCCTTACATCCGCCCAAGCCTTCGCAAAGACATCGCTTTCGCCGTCTCTCCAGCCCCATGCGACGCAGTAATGCCGGAGTAACATTTCCAGTTCCTCCAGCTCGTCCAGGAATTCCAAACCAGCGATGCGCTCCTTCTCCTCATCGCTAATCCATCTTCGCCAGATAGTGTTAGTATCTGCGACCTTGGCTCCGTTTGTCAAGCCATAGCCCTGCAAGCGTGCGCGTTGGTCGCCCAACTCGGGATACGCCGTCAATGTGTGCAAGTGGATGTTTCGGCTTTGGAGGTTCGAGATCATGGTCCGACCAAAGGCATCTTGGGGTAGGATAGGCTCGTAGAGTATGAGAGAGGCGGGCGTTGCAGGGTGTAGGTAATGCGTCAATAATGATGACACTATCGATTTTACTGTCGAAGGCTGCAGGTAAACCAGGCACATCTCGGACAGAACCAATGTAGGTATGCTCGGGTCCAGATTTGGTATTTGAGGTAGGGGCGTCTCTTCTGACGAACTTGCCAGAGACCGTAAATCAAGCGCATGAAGGTTGTACGTATCGGAATAGTACGAGGCCAAAGTTGATGGCATGTGTAATAGCTTCTGATGCAGTAGCGGTTGCTTCTGTATGGCGGCTATCTTGGCCTGTGTGTTGGTAGGAAAGTCGATCTCATGGTATACGAGGCGCGTCTGAGGGTATAGGTCGAGAAGGCGGAAGAATCGCGTGTCAGTGCCAGCACCGAGGGAGACGATCTGCTTCGCCGACGACGGGTGGGTAGTGAGGAACTTGGCGATTAAGAGGTCGATGGCCGAGGTGCGAACATAAGTGCCCCGGTTGAGCAACGGCAGTTTCCTTGCCGTCTGCTGTGTCGCAAACAGCTTCGCATACGGGTCGTGAAGATAACCAAGCTCTACACAGCTCATCCTGCTCCCCGCCGCATCTTGATCGGTAGCCTTGACGGCGTTGTCGAGAACTTGTGCCCGTCTCTCGCTACAAGTACCAAGACCGCCTCTTCCACGTCCTCTGCCTCGTGATGATCCGCCACGGCCTTGTCCGAGAAGTGTTCGTAGGTTGGGGATTTCGTTTGAAGAGGCCATGTTCAGGTTCGAGATGGGCGGAATTGGTGGGGGTCCAGCTCCAGGTTCCGCGCTAGCGCTGCATGCCAAGCCGACGCCCGGCCTGCCCTTTGGGACTTCTGGAGATTTCTTTGACGCGACCGACTTCACTCACCTGTTGCGCCGACACCCCAGCCCTGCACCCTTACTCCACAATCAACGTTAGCGACGGCAAACATGGAAGGCGAAAAGTACGGCGCGTCTCTTATCCGCCTGTGGAGGGTCTGGCGGACAACCAAGGAGATGATGAACGACCGGGTGGGTTGCGCATGCGCTTTGGAACACCATGGACTGCGCGCTGACTGTACACAAAGGGCTACATGATTGTCGAAGACGACATGACCATGTCGCTCGAAGAGTTCGCCAGGAAATATGCGCGCGAGGACGGCGAGCCTGAGTATGCGCCAAATCATGCCCATCTCCAGGCCCCAGTACTGACCTTTTACCAGCCGCTCGCGCCTCAACTTCTCCTGCCAGCCCTCCGAAGATATGCTCGCAAAGTACACCGACGCCCCGACAAAGAAGAACCCGAACCCCCAGCCCAATATCGGTACCATCTGGATCGAGTTCAACGCAGACGAGAACGTCGGAATGAAGCAACTGCGCGACTACATGTCCCATCTTGTCAACGGTTCCTTCCACTCCGGCATCATGGTCACCGTAAAGCCCATGACAGGTATGGCCATTCGACTCCTGCGCGGCGCGACAAGCATCACCGATGGTCCCAAGGGCGGTGTAGAAGTTTTTGTTGAGCAAGATTTGCTCGTCAACATCACAAAGCACGAGTTGGTGCCCAAGCATGTCCTGCTGAGCGACGAGGAGAAGCAGCAACTGCTTCAGCGATACCGTTTGAAGCAGACACAGCTGCCTAGAATCCAGTCCACCGACCCGGTCGCCAAGTACCTAGGCCTGAGGAGAGGCTCTGTTGTCAAGATTATCCGAAAATCCGAGACAGCCGGTCGATACGCCAGTTACCGATGGGTCATATAAGCGTTCGGGGCATGGACAAGATGCAGTGCAACAGGAGAGTATTGTTTGCGTACAGCGTAATGTGCAAGCTAAAGCGCGCATGCGTAATTCCTCCAACCGTGCATAGGCACTCAGATTGGAGCAGGCATCGAGACTGATGTAGCATTCGGCGAGGCGTTTGGCGATGGAAAAGGACTTGGTTTTTGACACATCACTTTTGTACTATCTGAGAAGAGCGGCGAGGACGCGCGAATCAAAGTTCAAAGTCTTCAGCTTGACCAAGTGCAATACCCTACGGCGACTCGAGCTCGTGAACTGACAACCAGAAATGCAATAGCACATGCGGCACACACGCATACACCCTGTATCCTCCCATGCCACCAATAAAACAAATGAACCACAAAATTACACCCTACCCATCCATGTCGCCCGTACCGTCTCGCCGAACCACGCTACAGCTGCATATTTCGAACCCTTGGGTCACCTACGAATTATACCCACTCCAACCTTCCCATCCAAGTAACTCTCTTCAAAAACCATGGAAAGCTGTAACCCAGCATTGCCCTGATCGGTCAGATACACCCATCATCCATTCAAAGAAGCAATATCCTATTCGGGCATCTGCTAACTAGAAACACGGTTAACGCGGGGCGCTTAAGTACCTTTGTACCGTTCCTTCACCGTTCAGCGGAGTGCGGCATGTGGAGCCGACTTGGCTTGGCAGTGGTTCGAGAGGGGTATGTGGTGTTGAACTGGTCGGAGAGCTGGTAATGGTGATGATGATGGGCGGAATTACCGGTGAGCCCTGGTGGGGGTTGGTAGTGGTGCTTATTCTAAGCAGAGTGGGCTGGGGCTGAGATACTAATCTAGTTCGTATGCAACATGCCAGATTAGGTAGTTGGTAGTGCTGGAATGTCAATTGTGCTTGTCTCGAATACATCACTATGACAGTATGAGTGTGATTGTTATAGACAAAGATGCATTGTGCCCGACTGCGGGTATCATGCTAACTACACTATGCGCCTTGACTATGCGGAAAACAGTAATCGTACACGAGACCAAGACATCGACAAGGTATATAACATGAAAGCCGAATGCGGAAATGATTAATGACGAAATTGAAAGATGAATCGCAGTCGACAAGCCTGCTGTATGTCTGCCTTAGGACTCGTCGTCTTCCTGCTCAAATGTCTCAGAGAAGTTGATCAGGGAGGTGAGCCTATCCGGTGACTCCTCAATACCCAGGATCTCTCGCTTGGCCTTGTCAGCTAACCACGTATGCGGTATTAGCATGATGTCGCCCTTGTTATTCCTGGCGAGTCGTGTTTTTTCTTTCTTCGTAGATAATGGCTCTAATGACTTGGTCGTAGAATCTGTGGCAGTGAGGGCATCACTCCGTCTAAGGCGATGCTCAAGGATATCAACATCGATCGTCCGTAGCGCAACCACATGGTATATGTGCACTTTCTTCTTCTGGCCATAACGGCGACTTCGGGCGATCGCCTGCGCCATGGCAGAATCGTAGTCATATTGTGTCTTTGCTAGGAAGGGTGACACGAATACGACGTGGTTGGCGATTGTAAGATTGCTGCGAAAGGTCAGTAAGAGGAGAGTGTCTAGAGAAACAAAGAGGACCTACACGCCAGCTGCAGATTCACTCCCAAGATTGAGTATGATAAGCTTCTTTCTTGTCTTTGGATCTTTGTTTGTTTTAAACTCCTCCATGAGCTTAGCTGAGGCAGTGAGTCGACCTCGACCTGGCGAGTGGTACGAAACGTCGTAGTGATCGAACACAGTTTCGAGAATGCTAACAATCTCTTCGTTCGGCGCAAAGATAATGCCCTGGTCGGAAGCCGGCATTCGACAAACAATTTGAACTATAGCCTCGAGTTTATTTCCATAGCCTTGCCCAGTGTCCTCACTTTCGTTCGAACCGAGATCGGCCATTCGGATGAGGTTGCCCTCGCTCGCATAAGAATTGCAGCCAAGATGAACGCAGGTCTCGTCATTAGTCCGTAGTTCAAGACACTCTTTGCATGCAGTATGTCCGCAGTATGGTATAGAGAAGAGCATTTGAAGATCGACAGTGCCTTTGCAACTAGAAGAACTGCAGCGAAGAGGCTGAGTCTTATCAAGGGCTGCAAGTTGTAGATAATCGCGGATAGATACGACAAACCGTTTTAATCTCGTCCTATGCGCGAGTTCAAGAGAAATTTCGCGGAGTTGCGAGAGCTGCTGTTTAATCATTCGCTCGCGTTAAACCTTCGATGTCTCTTCAAGAGCAGTAGTACCTCTCCTTGGCGTCTTCTAGGCTGTTCCCAACATCGCGCGAACACGTTGGCTGGATTCATCATCTCCAAGCCAATTGTACTGCGTGACGTCCTTCTTGTAATGGCCATACAGCTCCTTAATGCCCGATTCGGTGTTTGAAACCTGTTTCATTAAGCCCTCAAACTCAGATAGCAGTCTCAACAGTTCTTTCTCAGTGCTGCGGAGCTAACGCGAGCGCTTCTCAATCAAGACTTCGAGCGCTGACCTGCCCTCTTCAGTCTCAAAGAGCAACGCACACCTTAGCAGCGCTTCTTCAGCACTTGCAGAGCCCTCTAGGCTGTCATTCAGCCTGCTGCTCCTGTCTGAACCTGACTTCTTGTTAAGCTTCTTAATCTGCATCTTTTGGGAGATAAGGTATTGCGAGAGCTCCAGATAGAGCGCGTGGTAAGCGACATCTAGATCTACAGGCAAGAGCTTTTCTGAGCATTAAATATGGCGGAGCTCGGCTTTATTCTGTCTCATAAAGTTGTCGAGAAAATCTTGTGCGCGTTGATGCCTGCCTTCATGCCACTGTCGTAACATAACTTCGGTTTGCGACAAGAAGCTCTCAACATCTGTCTAGTCCAGTCTCGATATCTTTTCCGCCGAAGTCGTGACAGTGCCGTCACCACAGAAATATCGACCAAGCTTGACACCAAGAAAGGACGCCAATTGATTAACATCAGAGAAGTTGGCCAAGGTTGGTGTTCCCGAGAGGCACCAGCGTTTGTGTGCAGCTATTTTCTTAATACTCGTGGCCACAAAGTTACTCCCAATCTTGTTGTTGTCGTTAAGGTAATGGTACTCATCAACAATGATCCGGTTGAACTGAAAGAGATGCAACAGTGGCGCCAAGTTTGACGAGCTATCTGCTTCAGATTTGGCTTTCGTCTTGACTCTTTTTGAAGGTCGTGACGGCAGCTGAGTGCTGAACGACTCATATGCAGCACCATGGAGAATCTTAACAGGTAGTGTCGCTTGGAATTCAGGCTTCAGTAGCCGCTCGTCCAGGAGTTGCCCCGTCAGCTTTTTGAAATGCTTGTAGTCATAACGCTAGTACACTGCTAACTAACTTGGGATCTCGCTAACTGCTTTATCTAGCCAGCAACTAAATGCACGGCGATTGGTCTTGAGAGGCTCAGGCAAGGCCGTGAATTTTGCCAGTTCCGAAATATAACCTTCCTCAGAGAATAGCGTCCAAGAAACGATGACAATCCTGCTTTATAGGAAATCTTCGATGGTAAGACTCTTCAGCTAACTGTAGTTCTCTATGATAAGGACGTTATAGTCGTCAAATTCCTCTGAACCCAGGAATTCTTGAAGCTCTGTGCTCCATTGATGAGTAATATGTGGAGGACAAACGACTAACGTCGCAGCGGAGTCAAAACGTTGGGGTTGTTCAGCTGCCAAGGGTTGGTTGCGCTTAATAAGTTCCTCAGGTGTGACCTGATAGAATTCACTCTAGATAAGTCCTATACTCGCAACAGTCTTGCCGAAGGAAGGTTGATCAGCCAACACACCACCTCGAACGATCTTCTCTGTCTTAACCTGAGCTTCTGCTCTCCAACCCAAACCTAGAAAAACAGACTCTTCTGTCTCACAGATAGTTATTGGTCTTCCTATCTCTTGCTCTGCCATCCATGCAACAGACTTCTTCTGTGCACCACGTAGGTACCCTAGTAGCTTAAATAGGGCATCACGAATGTCGTTCGAATTGCTTTGCAACCAGAATTTCGGAAATAGCTGCGAAGGTAAATCAGCGTAATCCGTGATTAGCCTCCAGGAAGTGATTGCAGGATCCACCTCGGGAAGTCTCCCTTAAGCACGATGGACCAAAGACATGATATTGACGCCCACCCGAATTCGTGTTCCTGATGCATCACTTGAAGCCTCTAGTTGGACTATAGCAGGGCGTTGCTTAATAGCACGTTCGAATGTGGCAGCGGCTCGACGATCCTCGTGTGCCGTCGCTACACCGTTTTCAACGTTCCAAAGTATCTCTGGATAGATTGGCGCGCAAGAGCACTCGCCCTGCCAGTCCAAGTGCACTGCTTGCCAAGATAGGCATTGCGGCAGCGTCTTGGCACTCTCCAATACCCATAAGTAGTCTGCGAAAGTTTAGACGGACAGTTCGTCGTAGAGAAAGACGTCTAAGCAGACAAGCGTTTGTAAGCAATCTAGCACAACACTATCAACCAGACGTCCTGCTTCAAGAAAGTCCGCGTGCAAAGATACAGCCGCTAGTACTAGTGTCATCATAGCAGGAGTCCAAACGTCAAGAGCTGTGGTTGCGATGGCGTGTATACGCCCGTCCTCCATATGCCATGGTCGCCAGGATGGATGTACGCGAGCAAGGGAACTACGGCTCTCACCATAGTGTTTGCGGGTATGGTCACGACTGAATACGAAGCTGTCGTGCTCTGGCCGGCCAATGGGGTCGGGGTCGAGAAACATGTACATGTCGTTTACTGACATTGATCGCTTGTATAAACTTGTAAAAGCAGTTCCGCAATGTGGTAGGTGCTTATAATCGCCGACAATGGCCGTCAGACCGTCGCTTTCAATCTTGATTCTCTTTGGCACGGTTTCTTCTTTGTAATCCGAGAGGCCAAGTCTGCTCCTGCATAAGCTAATCTTCTTAGACGAGCCGCTCATATCAACGACGAGATCCTTGGTAGAGGGTATGCGCACTCTCTATTTAATGTTGAGAAGTGAATCTGCAACGGTAGCTTGCGCGATTGGATTACTGAGGAACTTCCGCAAGGTACTGTTCCTAGGAAGATGTGTTGGACACTTGACAAATAAGGACTACTGTATATGGTTACCTACCACTAGCTCAACTGTAGCCTGGTGAGAGCTGTAGGTGATCTTCTACTGGTTGTAGTCTCTGGAGAATTCGCCGATGCAGAAATACTGAGAGCCTAGCTGCGCTTCCGAAACGGTAGCTAGATACTCATCTAGTACTGGGTCCTTCGAACCTAGCTTGGAAGCCAGACGACCGATGTTAGGAAAAACGTTGAACTTTAACCGTGAAGGTATAAGTTGTCTCCATCGCCTGATGAATTCGTCGGGTGGCGTTGTTCGGTGACTGGCTGGTACGATTGTCCTGTAGACGTGCTTAGGGTTACCTGCGCATGATGAGCAGGCTAAGTGTCCGCACGCTGAGCAGATCTGAATTGCGGACTTGCTTATAGCCTGTTTGCCTTCGCAATTATACATACGCGCACTCGACTTGGCTTCTTGCTGGAGCTTGACAAGGTTGAGATCCTCGTAAGTGCTAGGCTGAACGAAAGTACGCTTTAGCATGCTAGGCTCCGTGATCATGTTACTGCCAGGTGGAGCAGATAATGTTTTGTCTCCTGACTTTGCCTGATATGGGCGGAAAGCTTTGCATCCAACAATAAGAGCAGAGATAAGAGAGGCCCTGATTACTGTCGTGGACATGGCATTGCCGGCAAGATTCTGCAAGTCCTTTTGGGTTTCGTTGGCGAAAAGCAACCTATTAAGAGGCATCCCCTGGAGCATTAAAAGCTGGCTACTGTTAAGGGCATGTTGCCAGTTGCTCGCAAAGTCCTGTCCACCTAGGGTAATACACAGCACGATTCCCAAATCTGCTTTAAACCAATCCACGTTCTAGCTAACGTCCCACAACGCCATCTTGTAAAGAGAATCGTAGCCTTTCGCTGCAGCTTCCAGATGAGCAATGTCTATCGCATCGTGTACTCTTGAGGACTGCGAGATATAAAACTTCCTGTCCGCGAAGTCAGGGGGTCTGTACAACTATTAGTCTGGGTGTCATTGACGACAGCAGGATTACATGAACTTACAGAACGGTGCCGTTATCGCTGCGTCGACTAATAGGACTTAGTATTCCCAGCCTCTTCTCTGAGCGAATGTAATCATTTCGTAGTTTGCATAGAGCCCAATCTAGCTCATTCTTCAATAAGCTGTAACCGCTTAACTCTTTCAGCGATTCTAGGAGGAACGCTTCGTATGGAGAACTGCACTGTCTCTCCAAATTTTGCATCAAGTCTTTCCACTGGCTTGTTGCGCTCTTGACACCTTTTCCGAAGAGAGTACGCTCGATTGCCATCATATACATACGCTCTCTGGTTTGAGGTAGGTAGTAGTTTTTCGTGTCGCAATAAATCCACTAGGCTTCGTATCCGATTCTGTCGAATCTGCGCACAACGTCGTCCCATGTCTTCTTCTCGTTCTTAACGTTCTCAAGCAACACTATGCTTGGGCGGAAGCGATCCGTGTAAGCATACATTCCCTGGAATGTGTCGCCTGACTCGCCACCATCATCCAACGTCTTTCCCCTATTGTTCAATCTTAAAAGGTCTTTGCAGACAAAGCCTGCAACAAGGATGTCTACATCTGTTGGAATATCCACTTCTGCGCCATATGCTGTTACTGCTGTGGTGGCGGACTCGCGAATGAAATCACGGACATCTCTGAACAACCGTTCTGGGGCAAAGTTTCTCTCTATGTAGCCCTGCTTGAATACTTCAATTTCGGCAGAGAACTCTTGCTGAATTTGCATCCGAGTATGACCTATTGCCACCAAAGCTTTCGAGATCTCGTCAAGCGCAAGCAAAGGAGATTCTGTGCCAGAACACATTGTGGCAACCCTGATGGGTCTTTCTCCCAGACTTTCCAAGGCTTCGCCAAGACCAAGTTGCACAGCTTTGGCAGTCATGTCAGACATGCACTCCCCAATGCTGGAAAGTGGCGGAAGGCTTAGGTCGATGCCCTTGCCGGCTCGAGTAGATTCGCCAAGCTTGTGCTGTCTGCGTGGTTTCGGTTTGGGGTCGTCATCTTCAATAACGATGCTCTCTTCATCCAGCATGATGTCTAGCGACCCAACGTCGCTTATGGCTGATGCTTCGTCTTCGTCTTCGTCTTCGGAAGAGACAACCTCAATGTCGGCTTCGCTCTCTTCGTCCGTTGCGGGGGACACGTAAACATCGGATTCGGATTCATCTTCAGCTGTGAGGTCCACCGGGTCATCGGGGAACTGCTCAACGTAAGATACCCTTGGCCGAGCTCTGATGGAGCGTCCACCAAGACGAAGGCTCGATGTGCCGCTGCCTTTGCTTTGATCGATATCGGCTTCCTCCGTTAGAAGATCTTCACCAGATACTGTGTCAAGCTCGAGATCATCCCTTAATCTGAGATCATTCGAAGTTATAGGCGAAGGTAGTCCATCGTCGACATCTTGTGTGTGGCCGTTTGCGTCTACAAGTTGCTCTGATGTCCTCGTGCTTTCGCGCAAACTTGACCCTGCTGGGCTTGACCTCGGGCTAGCAACTTGAGTATACTCATTAGGTTTGCTGTCAGGCAAAAGCTTTCTGCGCTTCAGTCTAGCCGTGCCGCTGCGTATAGTGCTGCGTTTGGGCTTCGCGTACACATTTTCTGTAGTGTGCTGTGCGTCATCGTAGTTGGTATGCCTGGTCTTTCGACCTCTGGTGGGATTCTCTGGGGTGACGTCTCCAGATTGTGGAGTGATGACGCTTCGCCTGCATGAGTTGTCAGGCCGCTTCTTGTTCTTCTCGGGTAGTTTGCGACAAAGGTGCGCGGTTTTGTTTCGCGTGCAAGTATCGCAAGGGTTTCCTCCATTGCATGCTTTGAAACCTCGAATTGTGCAGCGTGGACAACGAGCTGCGATCGCTGCCGATTCCTGAGGCGTAGGCAGTCGACACTTTTTCCTTCTGTCCCGTATACAGCGTGTACACAAATCTTCTCCTTCTTCCTTACGACATTCGTATGCCGCATTGCCTCCGCGGGTAAGGCAAAAGTAGCAGCAGTCTTGAGGAATGACTAAGTCGGGACCATCGTTTATCTCGGGGAGTGACGTCGGATTGTTGGGCGCAGGAATCGAATTATCTACGCTGGGTCAGCTCTTGAAGTGGTAATGGTAAGATGAACGGCATACCATTGACAGGCTGGGCTCTGCATGTGCTACGTGTGCTACGTGTGCTGCGGACTTGATTGCCTCGCGTCTGAGTCTCAGTCAATGCAGTGCACTCGGTCTGCCCTGTCCGAGTTTTTGTGCGACGCGTGAGGACCTCAGTGGTGACGACATCCCACTCAGGCGCATCGCGTGCAGGCGAGAGTTCAGCCACGCGCTTGCGTTTACGCGACTTCTCGGGTTCCATGCTGAGAGAATGTGGGTGCGAGACGCAAAATTCAGCATGGAGACAACAAGAAGTAAGGCTATATAATAGTGAGGTTGCTGAGCATGCTCACGGCATGCAATTCAGGGTGGGGTGCATCGAGTTTCATGCGGCATGTTGTAGCCCTGGACATGGCAGGTACGTAGCGCGACGCGTCCCGCGCTGGTGGAGCGAAAGCACGTGTTAGCCTCCACCACGGCATATACCCCGCATGCCGTCTCTCACCATTGAGCGATATGCCCTAGGAAAGACGGCTATGATTCAGATTGATAATTTGGCGAGTGAAGGTACAGAAGGCTTGTACGACACTATTTGGAGTACGTGTAGTCATAGCGGATAGGCTACCATGTTGGGAAAGGTGATATTCCATGCAGCGATGTCGCAGCTTGTATTCTCGCCGTCTTGGTATGGTACTTGTCTCGTCCTCTGCAGCAAGATCAAAAAGAAACATACAAATCATCAGGTTTCTCCCACCTCACGACTGTTAACGAAGGAGCATCATGTCTAATCAGGCGGCCAACACTTTTGAGGACCTCACAGGTGTCTCAACTTCCTCATTCAGCAATCCCTACGACGCACTGATCGCGGCATGCGAAGACGATCCGGTAAGATGCTTCTGTACTCTGTATTCGCACTTACTGAGCACGATTTTGCAGACGCGAATCCAAGAAAAGTATGAGCTGCATCGCACCACGAGGAACCAGCAGCAAAAGGCGAAGATGCTCGACGCCAACTTTCAAGGCGTCAACATAGATCCAATTCTGTTAAGAGTCCATGATACCACTGTCGAGCCTGGATACAAAGACCCCCGCAACTGCTTTGTGAGAACCCCAATATACGAGCCGGATGTGAGACAGAAACTGACTCTGTACGCGAACAGGTCTTTTGGGGAAGACCGACACAGCAAGTCAAGGATATGATCAACCGAGTGCAACAGGAATTGCTGACGGTGGCACCTAGTATGTAATATGTCGTTGTTGTCAAAGTCAAATTCTAATACGAACAGATCTTTGGCTCATGCCACGGGATAACCTCCACATCACGGCATTGGAAATAACGCATTCGAAGACGGCACCAGAGATTCAGAAGCTAGTAGATGGGGTACGAGATAAGATACCTGCCATAACTGACTTTACCCACGACCATCGTACGCGCCTTATCAAACCGCTCATCGGGTACGACGCTTCAGCCATAGCATTGAGCTTTGTACCTGCAGCCAGCGAAGGTCTACATTCGGGTCGCACACCAGAGGACGACAAATTCACTTACCATCATCTCCGCCGGGACCTCTTCTCCATGTGCCGTGATGCAGGCCTTCAAGTTGAGTCACGGTACGTTGTGCCCTCAAGCCATCTCACCATTGGCCGCTTTATCCATACCAAGGACTTTGAAGACGGGACTGGCTCGCCTGATGCCCAAAAGACAAAAGCTTTGATCGATAAGATCGAAGAGATTAATGCTTGGCTTGAAAAAGAGTATTGGCCCGAACACAACGAAGGTAAGATACCTACGGGTGGAGAGTTCAACGTGGGACAAGAAACAGGTCTGCACTGCAGGACAGGTACTTTGTGGTATGGCGGGGGCGAGGTAGTGCATATTGGGAAAGGCTATTGAGCGGCAAACATCAGTTCAACAATTAATCTGAATCTTCATCATGGATCGTGGAGATATTGCAATCAGTGTGCATGGTCACCCCTTGGCAGTGGCGGCAGGTGCGGAGCGGCGGGGATGACGTGTGGCTTGTGGCTTGGTCCAAGCGCGTTCCTGAAGCTCCCCACGCGGCATCTCAGACCCTGACGGTCAAGTTGTATCACGCTTGTTTCTGCTTTGGCTTGCTTAGTGGCGGCATTTGGACCGGACAGATCATCGAATAGTTATTGCAGCGAGAGCGGACCAAACTCGTCCCCATACTGCAGCCTAGACACGTTTGCGACCCCGTGAGGCCTCATTACTTCTGCCTCTTCCAAGACCATACGTGGCATACATCACTCCCTACACTCTCGAATTCGAAAGCGACTCCCAGCCGTCAAACATGTTCAACCGCGACCGACTCCCAGGCCTTCCTGGAAGCTCCCCTCGGCCAGCACCACGCAACGACGGTTACGGACGGCCACCGCAACAGCAACCACCTCAAGGGCCTCCGCGCGGACAAGACACAAGAATGGGCGGCTACGATGACCGACAACCACAAGCCTATGGTGCTCCACCACCAGGTGGACAGCGTATGCCTGCAAGAGGCCCACCAGGAGGCGGCGGAGGGGCCGGGCCTGCAAGACAGTTACGGCCCATCAAGAGCCCAGGAGGCAATGCCTATGCCTTTGGCAACATGTAAGTACAGTCCACAATCACCCCATTCCAAAGCCTCTGCTGACACGTCAAAGTGTTGCAGTCTCGCCTCAAGACTTCCCACCAAACCCCGACGGCTCCGATGTCTACATCCTCGTCAACGGAAACTTCGCCCTCTCTGCTCGGCCTACACAAGGATGCAACCCAGGCGAGATTGGTCTCACGGATGCACAACGAACATGGGCTAGCATATCACTTGGGCCTCAGGAGCTTGTCATGGCAGCACCTTACGACCACTTTGCTCAGAGCGGCGGAAAGTCATACCTGGGCGCAGTTGATGTCGAAGTCGGATTTGCAGGGAGGAAGACCACTGAGACGCCGTATGACCAGGACGAGCTCGCTACCATGCTCAAGAAGAGTTTCGAGAACCAGATCCTTGCGCCAGGCCAGCAACTCTTGATGGATATCAAGAGTATACCACTCAGGCTATCCATACGAACTGTCACACTTGCCGATCTGTCCATGGAGAAGGACGACACCAACGCGCCCTCCCTCACCGACCCGCGTGCTCGTGGAATCCTCACCAGACATACTCAGGTCGACTTCTTCAAGGACGCTCGAACAGACATTAAACTAAAAGCATCAGCGCGACGCGCAGCGGCAAACTCCATCATCCAGCCAGGTTTCAAGTTCGAAGATATGGGTATCGGTGGCTTGGATAAAGAGTTTGGTGCCATCTTTCGACGAGCTTTCGCCTCCCGTATTCTGCCTCCGGGCATTCGCGAGAGAATGGGTATCGATCACGTACGCGGTATGCTTCTATATGGACCCCCTGGTACTGGTAAAACTTTGATTGCTAGGCAAATCGGAAAGATGCTGAACGCCCGGGAGCCCAAGGTCATCAATGGCCCTGAAGTACTAAACAAGTACGTCGGAGCTTCGGAAGAAAACATCCGAAAAATGTTCGCCGATGCAGAGAAAGAACAAAAGGAGAAGGGCGATGAGAGTGGCCTTCATATCATCATCTTCGACGAACTTGACGCTGTCTGTAAGCAGAGAGGTTCTGGTGCAGGCAGCGGTACTGGCGTAGGCGACAGTGTTGTCAACCAGCTGCTATCCAAGCTCGATGGTGTCGATCAGCTGCACAACATCCTACTCATTGGTATGACGAACCGCATGGACATGATCGATGAGGCCCTCTTGCGTCCCGGTCGTCTCGAGGTGCATCTGGAGATTTCCCTGCCTGATGAGTCTGGTCGAGCCCAGATCCTCAAGATCCACACTGCGAAGATGCGCAAGAACGACGTTCTTGCGCCCGATGTCGATGTCGAAGAGTTGGCTAAGCTGACGAAGAACTTTTCTGGTGCTGAAATCAATGGTTTGGTCAGGGCTGCCACATCATACGCCTCCAATCGACATATCAAAGACGGCACCACTGTTAAGGCAGACGTGGAAGACATCAAAGTTATGCGACAAGATTTCATGACGGCACTCGATGACGTCAAACCGCTTTTCGGTGTCGCTGAAGAGGAACTCAGCAAGCGACTACGACACGGTATCATCCACTACTCGTCATTCATCAATGATATCCTGGAGGACGGACGCCTGTATATCAATCAAGTCAGGAAACCAGAATCATCGCCGCTACTCTCTGTTGCACTACACGGACCACCAGGTTCTGGAAAGACAGCTTTGGCTGCCAAAATGGCCATTGATTCAGGCTACCCGTTCATCAAGTTGATTTCAGCTGAAGATATGATTGGCTACAGTGAAATGCAAAAGGTTGGGCAGCTCGACAAGGTGTTCCGAGATGCATACAAGAGTCCATTGAGCGTTATCGTCATTGACTCAATTGAGCTTTTGTTGGATTGGGTACCAATTGGTCCCAGGTTCAGTAACACGGTTCTGGCTGCTTTGAAGGTCCTGCTTGGCAAGGAGCCACCAAAGGTATGCAGAATCCCTGTATCACATCATCCATGAAATCCTCTAACAGACCTAGGACCGTCGCTTACTTATTTTCGCGACAACAACCGAACGATCGGTACTTACACAGCTCGATCTCTTCGCCAGATTCGATGCCGAAATCGCAGTCCCGAACGTGAACACACAAAAGGAGCTCGCCAATGTCCTGCAAGAATCCGGTGCCTTCTCTGATTCCGATCAACAGCGTGCCATCAGTGAGATACAGGAGATGACAGGTAACACTGAAATCGGGGTCGGTATCAAGAAGATCCTCACCGGTATTGAGACCGCGAAGCAAGACCAGGATGTACCTGGCCGTTTCGCTCGCGTCATGTCTCGTGCTATTGCTGCGAACCGGGGTTCGATTTAGGCTGGCAAGGGTTCAAAATCAACGAACTACTTGTCGGACCATCAGAATTGAATTAGCTAGACTACCTGTAGATGTCTTTTGCAACAACTGTGATGACAGCATTTGTTGTGGAAACATAGAGTAATTATTGAGAAAAGATATCACACCGAAATGTCGTCCTCTGATAACTCTGTTAAACTTGCACTCAATCTCACCTCAAAGTCTGTACACCACTCGCCTCACTTCTACTCGTATCCCTGCTCACTCGCATCAAAAGCAACATTTCCAGTTCTCGTCCGGAATCTAACTCATTCCACAACATGTCTTCGTCTCCTCATACTGCTGCACAACTGTTGGTCGCTTGTCAGGCCGCTTTTCAATAACCTCACATCTGACACCCGTCGGTGCCCTTGGTCTCACAACGCAGCAGGCAGACACTGCTTCATCATGTCAGATCCCTGCAGTGGAGTCAATTACGCGTTTGCTTCGGAGCTCGCCGCTGCTTTCCTTTTCTTCTCCCGAGTCGTACTTGGGCCGCCTTGCTTCCGATTAGGCGGATGCGAGATGGTACGTGGCGTTTGGGCGGGGGTAGATGCACGACATACTGTGGCTTAGGGATGTACGGCATGAGCTTGCATCATTGGCAAGTTATGAGAATGATGGGCTGAGATGTACAGTAGGGGTTTCAGGTTGAAACTCTAAACTGGTCTTCTTCGTTGGTCGGGGTGTGGCTTGCTTATGGGGGAACAGTGGGGGAACTTGTCTTCGGGGTTAGTGCAGTTATGTTCAATGCAGGTAACTTGCGGAGATACATGTTTCATGTTTCAGTTGGCCCGGCGAGAATTGACGCCCACTGGCTAGGTTTAAGGATGAACCGTCACATGATGTTGCCACTACATTGGGACACGGAGCGGGCTTGTGCAATCAGTTGGCTTACGAGTGGACCTTGCGGATCCACTATAATGGCACGTTCAGGCTGAATGAGAACCAGAATGGCTTTATATCTCCTAAGCTGCGACTCGGTTAAAATATACAGCATTCATGTGCTTGTGGGTGGACCGCTGCGCTGGGAGATGGCCGCAACGGTCATACAAGCCGTTACATCAACATGTGAGTAATAATAGAGAAGTCACACCAAAGAGCCCCTTGCAAAAAAGACTATTCCTTCTCCAGCCTCATGGTATAGTACTATCATGACGTCGACCCAAAAGCAGTCCAATTCCCAAACCAAGGAGACGAAAGGAGAACACCCAGCCGGATCCAACGCCCCAGTACTACCCGTCAAGTTCCACCGTCTATTCGTCAACGTTTGACGAATGAAGATGCTTACCAGCTTGCAGTTCGCCTCCGGCCCATCGACGGCTGACAAGGGATCACGCCAGTGCCGCACTATCAGGTCCCGCAAGTCGATTGACTGCCGCCATTCGTTCGCTAGCTATCGACAAGCGCGTAGCACTTGCATCAGGCAGCGGGCCGGACCGCGTCACATTTGCTGGAAAAAGTAAAATGCCGGCGTGTGGGTTTCGCTAAAGCAGCGAGGCCGAGAGTGGAGCGGAGTGGAGCAGGAAACCGTGAACGACAGTTCGTAACTTGACGCGTACCACATTGTTTGTGGTAACGTCGTGATATATAACAGAAACAGAAAAATCTGTAGAGTCCAGAAAGTTGTAAAATAACCGTGTGCCGCCCGAATCTTTGTAGAAACCGAAAGTTGTATGTTTGAATCATCCACAGAGGCCGTAAGGCACTTTTGTAAGAATCCGTGGTACTAGTAGTCCACTGGTGCTGGGTATTTGCCTTGTGCAGTGCGGAATTGATCTGGATATTTGCGTGCCGCACGCTCGTTGAGTGAGCTATCGAATATGTTAGTTTTACTGTTCACTCTAGAATCGCACTATTCTTACTCTACTCGCTTCTGTGTCCATTGCAAATCTCTCTGCACTTCTTTCGCAGCTTTCATGCCATCGGCAAAGTTCATGCGAGCACCGGCCAATCTGCGCTGAGCAAGTTGCTGTAGTTCAAGGAGTTCTCGGTGTTTAGCGTTGAGTTCACCAGATCTGGTTGTCATGTCAGCTCTGCAAACACGGTCGAAACCTTTTGATCGGCCTCGCAGCAGGGGGGCCTTTGAACATACGTTTGCGCCTGTCTCGCCAAGCTGCGATCTAGCGGCATCGGATTGAATGAGCCGTTCACACGGCTGCCCATGTAATCGAGGAGATCCACGCTGGCGGCGCCGCTAGTTGACTCGTAATCACTGGCAGATCCGGCGTAGTTGCTGGAAGTTGCTGATGGTTCGTATGATGGAACTCCAGATGTTGTGACACTATCGTTGGCCTCAGGTGGTGACCCTGCCACACGTCCGTAGCCATGCTGTTGCTGCGGATAGAAGAAGCCTGGCTTCTGTGGCATGCTGATTGGGTAAGAGGACTGGGGGTATTGGTAGAAAGAGTGGGTAGAAGCCATTCTGAATATTGGTTGTATTCAAGATAGGTGTTAAAGGGTACTGAGTGGTGTGCTAGCACGAAGCTCAAATGTTTTGATGTTTTGAGTGATTGCTAGGAGCACTGAGGCTTGTAATGCTTAGACAAGGGGCAAACGTGATGTAGCGTAACGATATTTAGAGAGGTGAGTGAAAGAGAAACAGAAGAGAATCTCGTTGAGCCTGTGAAAAGGCCTCTTTTTATACCATTCAGCCATAGACATGCTAGGAGCATGCTGATCAACGGGGACTGGCTTTGACCCCTTCATGCCGACTCAGGCTCCTAACCCCGCCCTGGTGGTGATAAAGGTGCATAGTCTTACGTCCATTGACGTCTCTTTCCGCTAGAGCCGGTCTTGAAAGCGTCATCTAGACTGGGCTGGATGAATGCTCTTGGCCGTAGGCCGCAGCCGATCAACGATGCCTCGGAGCGATACTGGATACTCAAAGTGCCAATTGGTCGGGACAAGAGACTAGTGAATAAAAGCTCAGCTCGTATCAGTATAGAAGGTTCAGCGGAGCGAATTGGCGTGCAATGGCAAACGGTTACGACTGTAGAAGCAGTGCCGTCAATGACCGGCATCAGCGCGTGCTAAAGGCAGCGAGGCAGAGTAAGCGCAGCAGACGCGGACACCAATGTCATGCAAAAGCAGCGCCGGTGGAGCTATGTACATGCATGGGTAGTCTGCCGGACGGACATGCTAAGTGTTGTCAAGTTGATGCGCTGGCTCGACAGCTGCCAGCGCTTTTGAGCATGCAATCTGGAACGGGATGCGGAGGATCAGATAGTGCATGACACCAGTGGCGGGAATTGTTTGCACGAGATTGTAGGAGAAAGATTGCGCGCGCCGACATGCAGCGCAATGGGAGGACGACATTTCCTGGACTTTGTCATGGTCACGGCCATGGAAGGTCGTGGAGGAATATTCGGGTCCTAGCAGCGCCCCGCCTGCTCGTGCCCCTCCTTGGGTCGGTGCGTCATCCTTGCGAGCAGCAACAAAGACAGGCCCTTTCACCGGCAATTGGCTGCGGACGCGAAGACAACGCCTGGCTGCAGTACAGACTTGGCTCTTTGATGCCTGAAGCCGATGTGCAATCCCTGCACTGCGTAACCACGCACGACACCTCACACGCATCCGTAGACGTTCCAATTACAATTCCACCATAAGGTAAGAGCATGTGTAGTGGCGGTGAAGGATTTTGTCTAGCTCCATCTGATGACATGTGGTCATCGCGGTATGCCACTAACGCCCTTGCATATACTGCCCAACGTCCTCTTGGTGTGGCGGCTTGCACTATGCAGCCATTCCTGGTAAGCTACCTCCTCCACAGCTCCACCTCATGATCGCAGAAGCTCATCGAAGGTCTCAGTGTCAATGATATGCGCACGAGGCATTATGTCGAGGTCATGGTAAGCTTGTGCTCAAAGAGACGGTTACATTGGCGCTTCAATTGCGCTTTGCGATCCGATCCGGTGCTACAACTGTCAAAGGCAGCCATGTGAGCTACGCATGGTAGCTACTCCGAGTCACTGTCGTACAGAGTGCTCAGTATCTGACCTAGCCACGGACTAAATCTTCGCCAATGGAGCAATGCCGTGGTTTTTGGACCACTCCCATGCAGGAACTATGCGCCGAACTTAGTATGCGACATCGGTAATACTGTATTACTAGCATAGATGCGCTACCAGGATAGTCTTCAGGAAGCGCGACCCGTCGTTCGGGTCATGTTAGGCACAATGTTTGGGTGGCTAGCTTACTGTATGGCAGTTCGACGATCGTATCCATGCGTATGAATTGGCGCTCGCCTATGTCCACTGCATATGGATAAGCTCACATCTGACAGCGGGAGCCACTTGAGGTCGGTCGCAGTGGTAGAAGCCTGTCTATCGGGGAATTGACGCACGTTCGGGCGCGGGTCTCTCCGCATAGCCGGGCGTCACTTCTGATGTACCTCGTCAAAGAATCGAAGTTCAATCTTCTCACAATCAAACTCGATTACAAGAGTCATTAAACCATATGTCTTTTCATGACATCTTCACACTTCTCTGTAAGGCCCTACTACAGGTATATATATGAAATGCCATACTGGCAAGCTACGTTCCTCTATCCAGACAAAAGGAAATGCTTACTACTGGCCCAGATTTGCTGCCCATACGTCTAAAATTTGCAGTCAGTTTAAGTCTCTTCTGAGGCGTATACCAGAAACCCTGCGGCTGGATCATCTATCAGAGCCTCCACTTCGATACCACGCCGCTTTAGTTTGCTGCTATTACCTCCAGTGTAGCACTTAACCATAGGACGACACTCAGCATGGAGCTCAACCTCGCACAGCTTTGAGGAGTCGCTGTGTTGATGACATGTAAAGAAAATACTACATTGGACATCTCAGATATTGCTGATCGTCCCATCAACATGAGCAATGGGTGGTTCTTCCTACGCTGGTAAATGGGTATAGTATACCCTGTGATGGATATTAGTTTGGTTGTGGTTACACGGGTCTCGGGTATAGGTTGGATCAGGGTAAACTCTAGCGTGGGTATAGGTTTGGTTGGGCTGGTAGGAGTGTGGATATAGGGTTCCATCTGGGTTAGCTATAATTACACGTGATAGTTGCTTTAGACACAGGTGTATATACTTGGGTATACTTGGGTATACTTGGGTATACTATACCCAGCCCCAACCCAATCTATACCCATGCTAGAGTCTAAAATCACGGGTTAATGGCTGTGGTTGAATTAGGGTCTTACAAATCCTACCCAACCACAACCCAACCCTTACCCGTTTACCAGCGTAGAGCTCCTTCCAGAGTGGGATGCAAGATATTGCCCGCCTGTTCTTCTGGTAAACGTAGAAATCCGCCTGCAAGCAAGAAATCGGGAATTTCGTAGTGATATAGCTTGGTAAAGTTGCTGTAATCTGAATCGTCAAGGAGCTCAGCGTAGACTCAGTTCTCACAATACTTTATTGACAGGTTCAATACCAGACGTCGTAGTGTGATTGTTGAGCCCGAGAGCTGCTTCCTAACCTTATCATGTAGGGAGTAATCTACAGTATCGCCTTAGTACGTTCAACTTCAAGACACCACGGTGTACTTTCTTAGATATGAGCGTGACCTTAGTAGACTCGCGTAACTATAGTGTCTAGGGAACCGGTTCTCTAGATTCGAAGATCTCTAGGTCAGGCGTCTGCTTTAGGATCGATGCGAATATTGCACATTCATGGACCTTCAATTGTACGGGGTGAGATAAGCAAGACTCATTTGGAAACAACAGCGACCTTTGAGTTTGTAATATCCATAGGAGTTGACCTAGTTTCCGTTACGATGAACAGGACGAATTCGAAACGTCAGTAACATGGTTGTCTCGATAGCTCTTTCGATGCCATGGTCATGAATGATTTAGCGGAATCGCCCTTCACGATGACGGATACGCGTCCCGCATTCTCGAAGGCGGGCACCTTGGAGGTTACCGACGGCGTTCTGTGTGGCGCAGAAAATGATACCATGCGCTTTAGTAGTGACAAGTCAATCAGAATCAGCGCACAGAGACGGCGTGCGTAGGTGTAAAGTTGCGGGTGCAATCGCAATCCTCCTCTCTTGTCCCGGACCTTCCCCGCAACGCGCTAGTCCGGGTAAATTACCCCGAGCGCGACATGTCATCACTGTCTCTCGCCAGCAATCATGACTTTGAACTAATACCGTTTCGAAGATTCTCCAAGGCAGGCTTAGTTCCATTCTCATAACGATGCATGAGTGGAGAGAGCAGGCCGACCGCTAGATGGTGGGGCGGCTCTTTGGCATGATGAAGGGATGAGTGAACGAATAAGCACCCCGCATCCTCCTCCCGCCATGGATCGCGGAGCAACAGTAGCGAGCAAGTACAACTGCCGAGCATCACGTTGGAAGCTGTAGAAGCGCTCAAGTCCGATGTCGCGAGTACATATCGCCCTCCAAGTGCTCGACAGCCCTGGATAGCATCAACGTCTATCCTCTGCGCACCCTTGTTGACATGGCGCTAGATTCTCTCCTTCACCTACCACCCTACTTGTGGCTTTCTATCGCCCTCGCGGTACCCCTCGCGACGCTTCTCCACGATGTCTGGGTGTGGCTCCGAATGCCTCCAGGTCCCACGCCTCTTCCATTCCTCGGCAACAAACTCCAACTCCCAAGATCAAAGCCCTGGATCCATTTCCAGGAGTGGTCCAAGAAATACGGTCCCATTTTCACGATATGGATCGGCCGCAAGCCTACTGTCGTCATATCCGACCCCAACATCGCTGTCGAGTTGATGGAGAAGCGGAGCACAAAGTACTCGTCGCGTCCGCGTATGGTGGCTATGGGCGAGATACTGTGGGACAATGCTAGTATACTCGTACAGCCATATGGCAAAGAATGGAGTGTGCGGAGGAAGCTGCTACATCAGGCTTTGACACCCAGGGCGCTGAGGTTGTACAAGCCCGTTCAGACGGCAGAGGCATCGCGGCTTTGCCAGCAGCTCCTCGATAGCCCGGCCAACTGGGAGAAACTCCTCGAACGATTTACGTCCAGCATCGTTTTCTGTGTCGCATACGGACACCGCATCGATTCGCTCAATGCCAACGTCATCCACCAGCGCTTCAAGTTCATGCATGTCGCCGCATCGCTGAACGTGCCTGGAAAGTACCTCGTCGAGTCCTTCCCCATCTTGAAGCATGTCCCAGATGCTCTGGCGCCTTGGAAGGCTGATATAAAAGCGCGTGGTCGCGAGGAAGCAGCTGCGAACATGGCCTTGGTCGATGTCGTACGCTCGGATCTTGCGAGAGCAAAGGCCCAAGGTGACGATATCCCAGATTCACTATGCAAGCTCCTGCTCGAATTACGAGAGACGGAGCATATCCCCTTGTCGGATCGCAATTTCTCCTACATCCCAGCATCGCTTTTCGGCGCTGGGTCTGATACTACGGCCTCGACTCTCTGCACTGCCTTCCTAGCGTTTGTCACGCATCCCGAGACCCTACACGCCGCCCATCGCGAATTAGACACCATCATCGGCACTGGCCGTAGTCCTACGTTTGAGGACGAAACGAACCTGCCATATATTCGCGCTCTGGTAAAAGAAGTTCTTCGCTGGCGTCCTGTTGCCGTTCTCGGAGGTACACCCCACGCCTCCACAGAGGATGATCGTTACGAAGGATACTATATTCCTTCTGGCACCACTGTTCTAGGAAACTCATGGGCTATAAACCTCAACGAGGAGTACTATCCGAATCCACACCTCTTCGATCCCACACGCTTCCTCGATGAGGCGCTTGTGGAACGCTCCAAAGCACCAACACCGCTCACGGGCAAGCCCCATCCAGCGAAATCAGGTCACTCGTCGTTTGGCTGGGGAAGGCGCATTTGCCCTGGTGCCAGTCTTGCGGAGAACAGTCTGTACATCGCGCTAGCGAAGATTCTGTGGGCCTTTGATATTCAGCCCAAAGCAGGGGTGAAGTATGATACTTTTGCCTATACCGAGGGCTTCAACATACGGCCTCGGAAGTTTGAATGTGAAATCAGAGTTAGGACTGAGGCGCACAAGCGAGTACTGATGGATGATCTGAAGGAGGCTGAGAGTGTGTTGGAGAAATTCACGCCTTTCCAAGAGTAGTTGAGTATGCATGATGAAGCAATATACCTATTGAAGAGAAATCGAGTTCCTTGATTGATGAGATCGTCTTTCATCGTAACGTCATATCTATCTCTATCTAAGCTACATATCCAGACGTAGCGAAGCGCGACGAAAACGCGCCGCGTCTTTTGTTCGTTCATCCAGTACATCCTAATCTGAACATCCAAAATCTAGGAGTTCCAAAGACCTAAACGCCATCGCCATGCAAATAACCATTGTTGCCGCAATATCCAAAACTAATCTCTCTTGTCACTTATTAGGCTCCAAAGATAACAGCGACACCGACTGCCAAAACCACAGCCAGTAAGCTTCCCCTCTCTCTGACTCCAGCACCAGTACTTTGCACCAACGCCTCTGTGCTGAGACTCTTTCTGCCCTGTGCGCCACTCACGCCGTTGGCGCGATCTACACTCGCAATCGCAGGTCCGACGTTAAAGAAGTCCACCATGACAAAACTGGCCGGCTTTCCATAGATACCCTCGCACTCTTGTATCGATTCGCCTAAGCTTCCAAAGCCGGTCTCCGCATTGGTGACATTGGCATAGGTCTCATTAGGAGATTGGATACCAAAGAGCTGCGTCTCATACAAGAAGTGGTTTTGCAGGAACATGCGACCAGACTCTAGAGCTGTAGAGGGGTTTCCAGCAACGGCTTCCGGGCGCGATGGGTTACAGGAGTAATTTGAGGGAGAGACGTTTTCGTAGTCATTTTCGAACATGTACACGAATTCGTCCATGAGGTATGGGTAGTCTGACGAGGGGTTCGAGAGGCTGGCGACGAAAGACATCAAGCGGGTGTTGTTGCCGATTAGTGTGTCGAGCGTGGGCCATGTTTGCGGTGTGGTTGTCAAGCTTGGAGGCGAGTAGGCGATTTTGTCGAGTCCTGACGAGGAAAAGACTCCGCCGAGGTCTGCGGGGGAGGCGTTGTCGGAGTTTACGAGGAGGAGGGTTACGACGTCGTTTGTGTTGGCGTCCATCCAGGTTTTTATTTCACTGAGCCAGCTTTCCAGAGTTCCAGCGTCGAGTAGGTCGCAGCTGCTGTGGCAGAGATGCCATGCATCGTTGCCGGTGCCGTTGGCTTTGTGGACCTGTCCTGAGAGAAGGCGCACGCCAGCATCGAGTTGTGTTGTTGTGTTGTAGTAGTGGTTTCCAGATGTAGAGAACGATGTCTCTTTATTCCTTAGGAATGGAGAATTGTGCGCACCCAGGTATGTGATGTTGTTGTATGGGCGGGTACATAGGTCGGGCGAGTTGTTGCAAGCGTTTTGTGCGGAGGCGGGTGCGTATAGCAAGGGCAAAAGAGCCGAAGCTTGGAGTAGTATGCTTCTTGAAAACATGTTGGTGTGTGCGTTGAGTGTGTAGGATACGTCTCGAACAGTCAGCTTAGCTGCGCTTTTCCGTGGTCGTGGTCGTCGTCAAATGGAGGTCGTCAGCCGTGTACTGAAGAACAATCAAGCAATCTATGCAATATCCCCAAACAATGTCAAAGGAACAATGTCGTTCAATGATGTAAACCCGTTGGGAAAAGCAAAAGTAGTTACTCTACAATCATCAGGACTGGGGATCACAATGCTATTATACTATTACGCAGCAGTCGTCTCAGCCTAGCCACCCAAGCCTGTATACGGTAATCATGGAAACAGGTGGTGACTGGGCGCAGGAAAAAAGTGGCGCGCTACCAACCATCAAACTGCCACAAAGAGTGGAGCCTGGCAAGCACTTCGCAAACGGTGTTCTCGTACTCACTGCACAGCCCACGAAGCGACGTGGACAAACTGGTGCAAGAGTTTCAGGCCTCGTCAGCCCCCGGCCAACCGAGAGCCGCCGCGACGCAGTCGAAACATGGATTACGATGCATTAACTGGCAACATCGGCTTCTAGGAAAACCGCAGATGGTGGGACAGACAGTCGAATTTCGCTGGCCATGGACAGGGCGTTACGCGTCGGAGGCGGGCAGGCGGGAAAGGTGATGTCAGGTTATTCGATTTTTGATGGACCCTGGGGTGCTGAGGCGAAGTTCGGAAGTAGGTAGGACGATCTATTGTTGGAGTGGCGGGATACGGCTGGTGGCTTGGCACGTGCCCCCGGTTGCGTTGGCTCCCGGTAGCGTCGATCTGTTAGCCCTGTCGCGTTGTCGAGTGCTGATGAGAGACGCGGTGGTGATGGAAATGATGATGTGTTAAGTGTAGATGGGATCTACAGCTGATCAAAAGCAAATATGAAGCATATAGTAGCTTCCAAGTACCCGTCTCCAGACGACTGACATCGCGACAGCTTTGCGACTCTCTTGACAAACGTCAGACCGCTCCCCCAGCCACGTCGAAAATTCGTTGTCCGTCCAACCTCATCAACACCCATCGTCAACAATTGTCAATCGTCATCATCATCTAATACCCACAAAAATCTCTCCAGATTCCACGCGTCCATCTCCACACATACATCACCAAGCACCAACCGCCCTTACTCCACCAAACAAAGTCATCTCACCATGGTAACCCTCCGCGCTCCATCGTCTCTGCCGTCCACCGAACCCTCCCCCTCGCTCGCACCGCCCACCTTGTCATGGCTCTCAGGCTCCTGGAATGTAACCCACTCCACGCTGCCCATGTGGAAGAAATCGCGCAACGTGCGCATCACATACACTCCCATTCCCTCCACACAGCCCGCTCAGATCGACGACGTAGTCACGTACCAATCTCTTGGCGCTAAGAAAATTAAGACTGTGCATGGAGTTGACAAGCCGTTTGATGTACCAAATACAGCCTCAGCGTCCGGTACAGAGGCCGGAGAAGTGGCGAGTCTCGGCTACAACTGGCGGGGCAAGGGGTGGTTGGTGATTGCAACGAGCAAATGGGAGATACTAGGCTATGGCGACGAGGAGGGCACTGACAACAGTTGGGTCGTGACGTACTTTGCAAAGACGTTGTTTACCCCTGCGGGCGTAGACTTCTATTCACGGAAAGGCAACTTGACGCCACAGACGATTGAAAGTATCAAGGCCGGACTTGCGGGGCTTGGTGGTGATGTCGCAAAGTTGGCAGGTGAAGTGTTCGAGGTCCAGATGGACGGGGACAGGAAAGATTGAGCATAGCAAAGATGTTGAGCGATCTGAAGATTTAGCTATATACCCCGGACACGAGTCCTTTGCGCTAGAGTTGCTATGCATACCTTCTACCAACGCCCTGTATCGATGCATCTTCTCCTAGTTCACGTCGATATGATTGCACATAACTATCCACCGGTACGTTTCAAGCACGAACGTACTAATCACACCAAAACTCCATTGTTGCGTATAGTCATTCAATCTAAAAGGTTGACGTAGGGCTTCGCAGCATTTGCATATGACCGCGGCGTTTGGGGATGACTCTCTGGAACAAATGGTTCGACGTCAAGATCAAGGAGCAAGTCCGTGTTTTTGGAAACAGTTGCATCCTTTTCTGGCAACAGCTCAATCAGATTTCTGTCTGTAGTCTCGGTCACAGGAGTAGATGCTCGATGTGCATAGTATAGGGTTTCCTCCTGCATCTTCGCGTATGCACGTGCATCATCTTCCTGTACACCACCACCATTAGCGTAGACATCCCACTGTACCGTAGTGCAGTCTGATAGACCCGGGGTCATCATGCGTTGAGTGGGCGCATAGGTCTGGACACTACGTTTAGAGGATCCAGGGCCGGGTAACGTGTCTTCGAGCATCAAGCTTCGCGTGTTTGGCCGGGCTCCGCGAAACGGTGCCGCCCCGTTTACTGGTTTCAAAGTCGATTTGACGCCACCACTGCGACGGTCGCACATATGACACTTGCACGGGTCGCAACACTCCGCTAAAGATTGTCAATAAGGGGTCTTGCTTGCATTTGAAGGCAACACGTACCGATACAAGGATGACCACAAGTCTCAAGGCGCCTGGAACATTTCTGCGTGCAGTTGATCCTGTGATGTTCAAAGGGATGACCTAGTAAGCGATTTAGTATGCGCCTCCATATCGTTCGTATGTTGGCACACTTACATGGGTATGGGCAGCGATGTCCGCACGGCAACGACCCTTGGCACTTGATGTCACATCCACCCTTGATAAGTTCAAAGTCTTCGGGCTCTTCGCACCATATCTTGCGTCCATGGTTGCTGCATTCGAGCGGGAACTGATAACCTATCCGCCGCTCTTGGCCTGTCGTCACCCTGACCTTCTTATTCCTCCACATTATCTCAATGACTGAAGCCCAAGTACCGCTTTCACACGCAAGAAGCTCTGCATTTCCGAAGATGTAGAAGCCTCGTTTGGCTCGGGAGAGGGCGACACACGCGCGGTTCTCAGAGTTCAGGAACCCTATGGAATGTTTGTGGTTTGATCGTACCAAAGAAAGTAGGACGATATCGTTCTCCTCGCCTTGGTAGCTGTCCACGGTTACTACCTGGATATCATGCACTCCGCCACGTAGATTCGGATGCGCTCGGAGCCTCCGCATGATCTCCTTGCGCTGACCGTTGTAGAAGGTCAATACCGTAATTTTGGTAGCATCGACACCGTTCAGAACCAAGTAGTCGAAAAATTGGACTATCATATGTGCTTCCATCGGGTTCAGCGCCGACATGTAAGTATCGCGGGTCTCTTGCCAGTCGTGACAAAAGAAGAAACTGTTGTTTCCACCCATGCCTTCGACTGGCGGGCGGTTACTAAGATCCTTTACACTCTTGTGGTCCTTGAGTGTGTCCTGATAGATGGGATATAACAGTCGTCGTATCTCAGGTATCATACGACGTTGTCGGGTAAGCGTATCGAAGGCGACGTCATTACAGACTAAACGCTCGAAGAGTGACAAATTCAGGAAGTATGGTTTGTCTTCAAAGGCACGCACCTGAGTGTGAGGGCGCAGCTGTTGGTGATCACCGACCAAGACGAGGTGCTCGAGACTAGGGAAACAAGCAGCGGTGACAGGAGCCTCGAGTGTTTCTGCCGCTTCTTCTACAACACAAATCCGAGGTCGGAGAGCGCAGAGTAGAGCACGATACTTTGCGAGACCGGTCGTTGTGCAGCCGATGATGCGTGCCTTGCTGAGAACACGTACATCTTCTTCCCACATACCCACCTTGCGCTGTATAACTGCTTCTTGATAAAGTTTCGCGAGCCTGCGGATTTCGATAAGGATGAGTTTCTTGGCTTGGCGCTTGAAGTAGTTGTAGATCGTACCGCGATCAGCGACACGAATTATGTATAAGTCATCCGTTTTTCGTAAGACATCTTCGATGTCGGCGTTGCTCAGCAGATTCCCTGTACCCTTCCAGTTGTCGCTGAGTTGAATCAGTGGTCCGGGTAATGCCTCGATATCATCGTCATCCTGAGCCACGGCTTCCGCCTCAAGCTCTTTCAGTTGTTCGACCTCGAAGTCGTCTTCTTCATATCCCCAGTCGAACTGTTCTGGACCGATTGGCCGATCACATGGAGCGAGACATCTACCCAGCCATTGTTCCATTAGAATCCCTGGACTATCAGAGGGTGAAACCCCCATTGTGCATTGTGATTCCATCTCCAGTGATTCGGCTTGATCCTGGGTGATCAGTCCAAGACTTCGTAGGAGCTTGTGATCAAGCAGCACTTTGTTGACTTCCAAAGGCGCAAGCAGAACCTGAAGCTGAGTAGTCAACTTCCTTATCGCAATAGTGGCTTGCGCCTTCTGACTGCCAGGCTGCTTTTGTCGAGGTAGTTCTGAGCGAACTTCGAATAATGTTCGTTTCTTGATTTCCTTGTCCTTGCTTCTGCCTCCCAAGCGAATGTAATTGGGTTCAAATTGTGACGTATGGCGGAGCAATTGATCAAGAGCGTGGTTGGTCTGAGCTGTAACAATGATAGGCGCATCCTCTTTGTGCAAATTGTTGCAGGCAATTTGGAGTGCTACAACAGACACAAACGTCTTTCCTGTTCCTGGAGGTCCTTGTATAATGGCCAATTCGCTTGTTAGTATACGCTTCAATGCCCTGCTCTGAGAGTTGTCGAGCGAGTGCGAGGAAGCTGTGGGCCAGTCCTCCAGTACATTTACGTCCTCGTAATCTCCACCCTCCTCGATACTTACAAGCGAGCTCAGATTGACGTAAGGATTGTGTTTGATGTAGGCCGGAGGGTCTACCTCTTTCTGAACGTGGACCAGGTACTTGGACATCGGAAATGGTTCCCTCATCAAGTGTTGTAGAGCGAGCAGTGTATGTTTGGATGCTTCGAAAAAGCTGCTCCGACACTCTACCATAATCCACTTGCGCATAGGATCTATTTCCTGGTCCTCTGGACGCGCAAAGAAGAGATCAATCTCAGGTGGGTTCTGCTCTAGTGCGGAGAGAGGGCGAGCCGCAACTATAGCGAGCACGCATTGGGTCTGGAATGCATCGTCGGTAGGGGATAAGGCAACAAGAGTGCCAGTGATCAGCCTCTTCGACTGCTCCCATCTAGATTCGTTAGTTAGAGTTAAAACTGTATCCACACCTTGGCTTACCGGATGTACTTCTTGACCCGGCCGAGGGAGAAGGCGACCCGCGTTGCTAAGCCTCGTGGTGAAAAGACGAGTGACGTGATGTACACTGGATCATAGACTCCAATGCTCTGGTTGTTGTACTCCGCTTCATTCTTGAATGGATCGGCACGAACCTCGTCGATAGCTTCACGGAGCGGTCGAACAGTATCTTCACGTAGAAGCTCGTACTTGGTCCTCAAATAGTCTTCATTGTCATCGTATGCGCCTTCGGGTTTATGTGGACGAATTCTCTCGTCAACCTCAATGAGCGCCTCGTCGTTCTTAGATTCGGATTTTTCGCACAGAACCTCCGAAGGGTTCGGGATCTCTGGCATATGCAGCCATGCCCCTCCAGTGACAGGTTTCTTAGCTAGTTCGAAGTACTCTCTGATGTCGTTGTTGGCGCGGAATGGTTCAGACATGGGGATATCATCGTGTGGAAAAGAGACATTCTTGGAGGCGTTGAAGGGCATGCTGCGGAAGCGCTCTGTAAGATTGGCATTGAGTTCTCCATCTGCCAAAAGATCAGCCATTTTCATAACGATTACTACTAATCCAAGTGAAGATAGAAACTCCGCAACTCCGCAAATAAAGGATATGGGGCTTCTTTGCTACGGCAAGATACCATGGGCTAATGCGAGACACAAGACAAGCCTTACATTCACAATCCAATTGCTCTAGGCTCTCATATGTATTGTTGAACGGTGGTGGTTGTGAGCCTCTGTGAGAAGCCGTGCCGGCGCCTGCCCGCTTGTTGGCCCGGTTTGGTTTGTTGCGAGGGCCTCGCGCCATGTTTGTCTTGCGATTGTATCTAACGTTTAGAAGTGATATGTGCTGAGACAAGTAGTGATGGGAGATGAGAGAACACAGAAAGAATTTTCGTCGTGGCTCGCGAGGTGAAGTTCGCGCAGTGAGTTGTAAACACGCAGTCACCGTGAGGAAGGAGTGGTCTAGCCACGGCAAACGGATCACTCGACCAATCAAGCAATTACTGCGACGCGCACAAGTCGAGACAAATAGGACTGTGAAATGTGATAGAGACAACTAAATGTTACTGTAGAGGTGATGCCATCAATGGGGCTAGGGACTCGCTGTGTATGCCTGAGTAAAGTAATGAGAACATTTTGGAGAATCAGATGAACTGAAATAGAATGAGACTGGAGGTGAGACATCGAAGCTTTGAAGTCACGACGAGAATAGCAAGACAACCAAGGCTCGACCTTGCATCTTGTTCAAGAACTCGACGTGCTTGCAGCTTTCCACTCAGTTGCCAATCTTACAAGCGTGTTTGCCTTCCAGCGACGCGATTGTATCTGCCATAGTTGCTAGAAATATCGAATACTGTAAATAAACAAATGGACTTGCACTTGACATGCAAAAGTCGCAGGAGATGGAGAGAAAGGGCGAACTAACGGACTCTGCTGTAGTACTTCTGAGGAATGACGCAAAGGAGACGGCCGTATATGAGTAGCAAATTCCAAGCGCAGATCAACATGAAGCAATTTCGATCGACCCATGAGGGGGTAGTGGTGATAAGAAGTCAGAAGGCGTTGGGTTTTTGATGGGTGGAAGCTCGTGTTCTTAGCGTAACTGTCTCGTGGCAGCCACCACCTGGGCACCAGGCGCCTGGACGTGGGAACTGTTAGTGTAGCCTACGCACATGCATGTGGGACTTTAAGAACTACTAAAAGTTCCGAACATTATAAAACAAGCAGTAAGATGCGAAGATGATATGCGAAAGTTTCAATGCTTTTCTTTTTTGGAGGGTTGTCGCAATACCGCAGGAAAGCCCCACGTGGCACTACCCGTCCGCATCGCTAGGCTCTTCCTCTCGTCGCCTCTCGCGATGTGGCGCTGAATATTGCCTTGTAAGTCTTGCAGATTTAATTTTTGCTTATTGGCTATGACCAGAATGTCTTCGAATGCCATCGCTTGCTGGGGAAATTGCAGTCCAAGGTAGTATGCCCGAACAACGTCATCTTGCATGGGGTGCTGGGCAAGAGACGGATCTTACCAGGGGCAGCCAGCACGAGAATCAAGTCACAAGCCGAAGGTTTTTGATGCTGCGCGTGAGATGTTTACATACTGAAGGGGTATCCACGAGAAGAAGCTGATGCCGAGATAAGAAGATTTGCAATGTGGTACGAGCGGGTCGTCTCGCGCCGTCGCACACGCTGTTGGGCATGAAGATCTGATGAGATTCACCAACGACAGAGTGTCGAGCGCGCCGATCAGGCTGCCCCAGCTGGGTCCAAGTTGCGTAGTAATAGTGCTCCCGCAGCTGTCGTTCGATCAGGTAGCGACTCCATGTGGCCGCCTGAGCTGTACCTGACTCCGACCTTGAATTTGGGTAAGTTTCAGCCTGGGGTCGCGAAGATCCAGGATTAATCGGCGCGTCTGCGTCTGGGGCTGTACTGTGGTAAGACTGGCACAAGCAGCCCCAGAGAGCCTCGTGGAGATAGTTCTGAGCGTGCCCAGTGACACATGACAGAAGGACAGATGTCGAGCAGCCTGGCCAGCCACGTCCACTCTGGAGCCAAATCGAGTCGTCAAACTCACCGGCAGTAGGGTTGCATGCGATTGCTTCTGCGAACTGGGCCAGAGGTGCAGCGGCTTTGGCGGCCATTGGGCAGGAAGGATCCTGGTGATCAGGGTGGGTGGTTTAGTGCAGCGTGAAGGTTACGTCATTGCAAAAGAGCGAGACAGCGCCCGACCTTGGTCCTGCTACCAACCCCACTACTCTCGCCGGGGAGTCAACTGGGCCAGCCTTCTCGATAACGTCAGGCCACGGCACAAGTTCATTCTTCGCTACCTTGATAACCCTTCTTCTTTCCTCTTCGTGTACTTTGCCCGTGCCCTTTCTTCCACCCCATCTGCTGTCTCCTGAGAGCGGCCCATCACCCCACTACCATTCCCCCCATCGTCGCTCACTTGTCGCTTAGCCGCACAAATGTCGCGACGCTACCCAACCGCTGAGCTGTACGAGGAGCGTGAGCGCGATTTCTACCGCAATGGAAACCGCAGCGAGCGCAACTATGAGGAGCTCGACCTCGAGCTGCGGCGTGGCGTAGGCCCTGACCCGCGCCGCAGCGCCCCCGACTTCTTCCGCGAGGACTACAACCGCCCGACTGCCGGGCCCATGGTGCTGAGAGGCCGTGACGAGGACAGCTTCTCCCGCGCAGGACCCCGCAGCAGCCGTGGTGGTTTCGACGACGATGTGCGCTCAACTCGAAGCCGTCCCCCGCCTCCGCCCTCTGCTATGCGGGGCATGGAGCGTGACGACATCAGCATCCGCCATAGCGAGGCTCCAACACGCCGCGGCCGGGACGAAATCGACGAGACAGACATTACAATCAAGCGCCGCGAGCAGTCTCGAGGCCCGCCCGAGCGCGATGACATCGTCTTCCGCCGTGGTGACGGTCCCCCAGTCCGGTCCGTCAGCCGACCTGCCCCGCGTCAGGTGGATGACGACGACGTGCGCTTCCGGGGCCGCGGTGGAAACGACATCGACTTCCACGCTTCTCGCAGCGAAGTCAGCCGCCACGGCAGGGACGTCTCTGCTGAGCGAGGCTCCATCCGCTTCCAGGAGCGGGACGGCAACTTTGAGATTCGCGCCAACCGCCGAGAGTTCAGCCGCGATGGCAGGGATACAAGCAGAGAGAGGAGCTCCTTGACCATCAGAGGTCGCGAGCGGAGTCTTCCTCCCCCAGCACGCAACCGCGGCGACCTGGTCGCTAGGGAGCGCGAGGAGTTTGTCATCCGTCGCCCACGCGCCGAGTCTCCACCTGCGAACAACCGAGAAGTCATAAGAGACGAAATCATCATCAGACGCAAGGAGGAACGAGCACCCACTCCCTCTCCCTCTCCATCCCCGCCTCCTCCACCACCACCGCCAGCCCCTGAGCCAGAGATCCGTCCTCCCATCATCCAGGAGATCATCACACATCACAGACACATTGACCATGGTGAGCGATCTGGCTGAAAGCATCTGCAACCAATACTGACAGTCGTACAGGTGTCGTCAGGGCGCGTTCGCCAACACCCCCTCCCCCACCTGCGCCACCGTCTCCTCCCCCTCCACTAAACGAGACCCTCGAGATCGAGATCAATCGACGAGAGTGAGTACCCACTTTAGATGCCATCTACACAACGCAATCTGACAAATCTCCAGGAGCCACAGCCGTGGACGTGGCAGGAGCAACTTCGAGGAGCTCGATATTGATATCAACTTCAACCGCGACCAGGTACGTCACCGCGAGCGGTCGTTTAGTCCCCCAAGGCGTGTGCACACAGCCCCTATGCCCGATTCGGACTTTGATTTGGAAGCCGATTTCTACAATCGCAAAGCACTTGAGCGCGCCTACCCGGGTGAAGCTTGGAATGGAGTAACCAAAGACTGGTCCATCATCGACGTGCCGCCCGGCACCAGTCGCGTGCGCATGGATGGCATCGGTGGTGCTGCCCAAGAGATCACCTGGCAGCGCTACAATGGCGTTCGCAGATCAAAGTTCATCAGCGGTGACGACGAACATACCACTGACATTTACAACCAGGGATCGGTGAAACAAAAGAAGAAGGACATGTGGACCGAGATCACAAAGGACCTGGTGATTCGTGAAGCCATCGACTCAATGGGCTATTCGTGCGAGGAGACCGACGACTTCTTCTACGTCATGGAATACCTGCGATACGTAAGTTTATGACCATGCTCGCCATATGCAGTTTGCTGACCCTCATCCAGGAGGACGTGTTGCACCTCGTGGAGATTTCTGATGAGATTCGTCGCAAGCGCAAGAGTCGCATCCGGGAGATTGAGATTGAGCGCAAATCAATTCACGACTCTCGCCCGGCGTCAGCCTACGACGACCGGTTCTACGAGCATGAGGTATCGTTTGACAGCCGTCGCAGCCGATATCGTTAGATTCTGGATGTGAACGAGAATCTTCGTACAGTTTTCATTTGATGCCGGACCTGCGGGTTGGACTCGAGGGTCCTTCAGAGAAGTCTTGCATCATCATCATCGAGCCTGCGACAACCCGCATCATTCCATCTCGTTGGGCAGATTTTTCGGTTCGACCAGCATGTTCTGATGCGTCTTTGCATCCCCGACCAACGCTCACGGGCTTCCAGCGCGCTTGTCGGAGAAAGTCTCAACACGACACGAACCGACTCACAAGATCTCTACGACCTGCAACGAGGATACGGCCTGTAGCACTAACGAATATGACGATTATGACTAGCATACCCGGAGCGAGTGAGGAAGAGGCGGTTTTTGCAGTTTTTCTTTGATGCTTGTTCGGATGTGGGAATTGATCAAAGTGGCAGGTGTTGGGGAGGTACATAATTCTCTTTTTTCTGCTGTTCCCAATCAAATTCATGAGTTCATTGGCGTTCACTGTGTGATCTGATACTTGCAAACTATCGATAAACTCTATTCTGGTGCGCTGTGGGGTTGAAGAAAACTGCTTTTAGTGATGGCAGTGTGCATGCAGCAAAAGCAAGGACGCATACGAGGTCAGACCACAAGTTCATTGAAACCCTTGCCCTTTCAACCCACTGCCATTGTAATCGCTTCTCTGCGACATCCGAATTCAACGTTATGTAATGTTTCTCCAAGTATCCATCTGTCTCTCATTGTGTCCTATATACAGCACGAAAACGCCTGTGTACTAAAAATACTAACGACGCCGATTACCCCGCTTGGCACGTCCCCCCTGTCTTTACGGGCGCTTCCACGACTGTTACACGACACGCAAACACGATGAAACCCCTGTCGCGAGCGCGCCATCTCCCTAAGCGCCCACTCCACATGCTCAATCTCACTTGGTCTCGCCCTGCTGACTGGCTCAGTGCCCATAGGTACTTTCCAAGATAAGACATTTTAAGTTGACTTTGCCGCAAGGCGAGTGGTTGGATGCGGTGATGGGGTCGCTTTTTTGGCTGTTTCATGTGAGCGATGGGGTAGCATGCGGTATGGCGTGGTTGAGTGACGTTTGTACGCAGAGTATAAGGTCCCGAAGGGAGGCGTTGGGCTAGTTGTTAATGCTGTGATACTTTGAAACTGGAGCTGGAGCTGTTGTTACCTTCCCTCTTTGTTTTTCTTTGGTTTGCTTTGGAACTGAAGTGTCCTGTCGATCTTTGCGCGCTTTTGAGGATTGCCAGGTACTGATCTTGTGTTTGCGATGATGGATGTGAAGCAAATGTTTGGCGCAGTGATTGCGTTGCTAGCCTGTAAGTCGTTGTTCAAGTAGCCTCAGCTGCAATACAATTGCGGGTCTGTCAACGCGTGTTGCTAACTTATCTCTCAGTCTTCCCAGCGCTCATATCATGTCAAAACACAACAACAAACGCCACAACCGCATCAACCTTCTACCTAGATCGAACGGAAACTCAATTCTCAATCAACATCGCAGATGACTCGGACGACATCTTTATCTACTATGCTAGTCCGGCATATTCGTGGGTCGGCGTTGGACTCGGTGAGAAGATGGAAGGAAGTCTGATGTTCATCATGTACCCCAATGCGAAGAATGATAGTACGCACTACTCCATACTGACGTCAAGTCAAGTCGCAAGATGGATATTAACAGGTACCAGACGTAACAATTTCACCGCGCATCGGCTCCAAGACTTCCGAGCCAACATTTAACTCCTCGATATCTCTTACTGTCCTACCAGGAACCCGGATCGACGACGATATGCTCATCTTGAGAGCGCGGTGTGGTAACTGTCGTTCCTTCATCGACACTGAGGCGACAGCCCACCCGATGATTTTCGCCTTTGGTCAAGCACAAAACCTGCAATCCAACTCGCCCTCTGCGAACCTCAAACGACATATCCGCTTTGGTCACTTCACCATGGACATGACGGCGGCAACAGGTGCGGGCGGTGTGCCAGTTAAGAGCAATGCGCTAAATGGTGTGAGCATGGTGGGTGAGATGACAAGAGACCATGATAGAGCGAATCTTGCACACGCTGTAATCGGATGTCTCGCGCTTTTTATACTCTGGCCGCTCAACATGCTCATCGTGTGCTTGTTCAAGAACATCAAGGTACACGTTATACTCAGCGTCATCATCATGATCTTCCTGATCGTGAGCTACACATTGGGTGGGATCACCAGTGCAGAGTACAACCGCGTAAGTTCTCTGTGACCATCAAGATTGGCATCTCCATACTAACGCAACCCAAAGTCAAAAGCTTTCAACACACCTCACCAAATCCTCGCATTCACATGTCTCCTCCCTCTCCTCTTAACCAGTGCCCTCCCATCTCTGAAGCCCTACCTCCCCCGCCTCCAAAAGGCTGTCCACACGCCACTCGTTTCGACCTCTTTTCTCCTGCTCGTCCTAACCGGCGGCCTGGGTCTCCATCTCTCTGGCCAGACCCGCCCGATAATCCTCGTCTACACTGCTGTATCCATCGCCGTTTGCGTGTTCATCTTCTTACTGCAGTCGTGCATTCGGAAACGTGGATCTGCGTACTCACGCGCTGTAAAACGACAAGATCGCGGCTCGGGAGAAGAGAGCGATGAGATGGTTATGCTGGGTAAGATGGAGGAGGTGCCTGGATATGGGAATTTGCCATATGGGTATGGTGCAAGTCAAAGTGGAAGTCGGGAGTTTGGTGCGGATGGCCAAACACAACCGCAGCAGCATCAGAGGAACCAAAGTCGCACGCACTATGGTGGCGGGACGATGCCGGGTCCACAGTACTTGCTCAACATGCATCCGGGAGTACCGGTGCAGGTTAGTCGAATGTAAGTGTAGCGATGCTTAGGCCTCATGATGTTACGATCAGCATGGCGTTTGGTTAGTTACAGTGTCTGGGCTTTTGTACATTAGATCTTTGTTGTTTTAGGACGTCTTAAAGCGAGAGATACCATGGGGGTGTTGAGTAGGCATTTTTGGAGTTGACTAGCTACGTTTTGTCTGCAATTGCATTATCGACATATCTTTTGACGATGTCATTCGAAACCTGCTGGCTATCACGTCCGAGCCGAATGCTATGTCCTTGATGTAGCTTTTCCAGCTTTGCGTTTGGATTAAAGAAGGTCTTGAAAAGCCCAGTCTGTGTTCATTAGTCACGAATACCACCAAAGTTCCCTGCGGTACGAGCCCAGACCACCCCACACAGATATATATTAGGGGTCTCTGCAAGCACCCTTCCCATTTCTTCTTCCTGTTATCACACTACTGGCATCGAAACCCATCTTCCATCTCAATCACACGACCAAAAACTACTAATATCCATCATCTTCACGACCGTGCCGACTATAACAACGTCACCACTTCGAGCACTTCGAAATCCAGGTGAACATAAAGCATACCATTATTGCTTGTGATGTCCCTTGGGACCCTGACTTCGGTTCAACCCTCTCTACGTTGTGACCGACTTCTTCTGCGCCGATCCGCTAAAGCAACACCTCTTCTACCGTGAGAGCGCAATAGGTTGAAAGCAACATGTCTTCGTCTATCTTTTACAAGGCACGTAGCTCGCTTGCCAGAAGAGTAGCACCTGTCACCCTGTTGGAAGCATTGAAGTTTAGTCAAGCAATTGAACAGCCGCTTCGTTCTGCGCTACCCCTAACACGGTATTTACACAGTCAAATACCGGCGAACGAACCTTCCAATTGCACTCGTCGTCCGCAACGAAGACGAGAAGCAATGACTCGGTTGCGACGGTTACCAGGCTACGGAACGAAAGCGCACAACGGGCGATATGAACTCGACAACTCCCGTATACGACCAGTCGCTAGATGCAGGCATTGTCGAGAGCAGAGAGCCGATACGACCAACACAAGCCACTGCAAGGAGAGATTTCATCCAGTATGGGCCGGACTTCTAGGAGCCATTCTCATCGTGGAGAGTCTGAATCCAAATTCTCGTCCCATGTACACATCAACGGAAAGATTGTTCGACTGGCTCGGGTTGAATAGGTCGAATGAGCATGAAGCACAAGAAGACCATACAAAGTCAAATTCGTTCCACCATTGTTTGTCCGGGCTCCCTCACTGCGCCTACTGCGATGAGCATATAATACCGGTCGACAATGGGGCGAGAAGTATTCGCGATGGACGCGAATCAGATGAATCGGTGGCTAAGGATGCTAGCGAAGGACATGAAGCGGCCACTCCAATCGACAAGGCAGGCTCGGGGCTCCCTAGTTTATCTACCATTCGTCTTAGATGGGTTTATTGGCCAACTTCAGAAGACTAAAAAACGAGCTGTTTGTGTCAAATGATCGATAAATTCACGTAAAAATCCATGAATTAAGAAGCCATAAGTGTTAAATTGTAGGTTGGTGCCGCAGAAATCTGATGGGACAGCCTGGACTAAATACCGTACAAAATCTTATACAAAGGGGTCCGAGATGACCCATATGGCGTTTTATCTATTTGACACACCCCCTCTAGAGTTGAACTAAGCGTAGCGAGTGAGACTCCAGAATAGGAAATGTTGATACGCCGTGAAAGAGTGACTGTTTAATACTCTCTATAAAATAACATCTTTGCGAGCGCTTTCAGACACCGTTGCACATTGTTTAACACGGTCCAATAATGCGCGTACTTGACAAACTTCGCGACAGTCGCGCCATTGTTCTGTGTACTAACACTAGCTGCTATGCTGTTGCCTGATCTTACTTCGCTCACTCCTTTGGCCATCAACTAGTTCGCTCAAGTGTCATTATACGGCTGCTTCATTCATGCCTTCGAACGTCACACGCCATTCGAATGTTATTCTACGGTTACTTCATGTATGCCTTTGATATCACACTCACTACTGCGGTGCCATTTTATGGCTGCTATTCTACAGCTGCTTAGTCCATATTCTCATTCACGCCCTCAATTTTGGAACACGGAGCAATGCTCCAGCCTTGCCAACCATATCATCGAAGCTCGGTAACTCGACAACAACGACAAGACGTACAACTTTAAGCCACCTCCTCTCATCAGAGAATGGAACTCCGAGTTTGCTCGTTGCTACAACTCTGATTCCACCGGCTTCATCAACTTAAGACTTGTTTCATCATGAGGCACGGAGCGGCCCTCCGAATTCTCGGTGCTGGCCTTGCCAGTCATCTCAGTGAAAAGTCTTTGTCAAACTTGACGTCAGCTCCCTTGGACGTCTTGAAAGCCGCAATGATACCCAGCTTCTTTCGTGACGAGCCCGCGGGCCATCCTCGTCATCACTCCGCCATCTTCTTACCTGCTCTTGTCCTTTTCGAACTCGTTTTCCTGGATCACCTTCCGTCCCGGTAGCAGCTCGACGAGCTTCCAGGTCTCGTTGGCCTGGAGTGAACTTGCCTCGTCTTTCATGGCCTGTCAACTAACGCACTCGAGTAAGACATCACGGCTACTTCGACCAGAGCCTCGCTCACAACGTCGCCGAGATCTTTCTCACTTCTAGGTCTTATCAAGCAATCCTCATGCGGTACGATACTCGGCGGCTCCATCTGCACCTTTGATCTCTCTCACCTAAACTCCTCGAACATCGTGCCCTAGGGCTGCTCCATTCACGCCTTCGGTCTTGCCACTACAAATTCTTGGGGTACGACCTACAGCAGCTTCGTATATGACTTAGATCTTGTTCAGTCAAATTTCTTGGGTGCCATCGCGGCCGTTCAGTTCATGTGTCAAAATTGGGCCAGGAGAGGACACTTTGCACCTTTAGGTGATGTGAGGGCCATGTTGGTCTTGGGAAATGCGCAAAGAGCTTGTTGAGGCATCGGAGCATGAGACCTCGAAGTATTGAGGAGACATGGAGGCACGGAGGCATTGTTGATACTTTGGTACTTGGGGAACTGGATGTTTGGATTTTTAGGTACTTGAGTGCTTGGTCATGCTGTTGGATGCTGTCAAAGGTTACTGGATGTTCTTGAAGCTTGAATGCTCTCTTTAGTGGATGATATCATGGCTCGTGTGCCTATTTGAAGATAATAATCGTTGAGCTTGAGTAGATATACCTTACAGCCACAAAAAATAATGTGACAGTGTATAGATGACTTGTATTCAAAGCGTACGCAACATCGTTCACTTTCGACCCGGATGTCAAAAATAGAACTTTAACCGCGCAAGGGACCAAAAGCTAAAGATCAACATCCAAGTACTTTTATTAACCGGCAAAGAAGTAGCGATTACCTCAAATCGCCGGTTCTCGTCCTCGACCACTATGTATATCACTTTATACGTCGCTCTCACGTGACTACACGTGGGATGCTAACCTTCGCTGCCTTCGACCTCCGAATCTACGGCCACCGGTGTCAGGACGTGGCAAAGCTTTATATAGGGTCTAGTTGTGAGAGCAACTGGACTTTGTCCTTTTGCTCAACTTCGGACACATTTTGTGTTCTGAAGACTAGCCACGAAACTACCTGGAAGTATAAGTACGCAAGTAGTTACGAAGAAATCGATGTCTACTACGAGAAGACGAGACAAGAGGAATGGAGTTGGACCACTCGCACTATCCCAAACAGTCCTTCCAAAACCGATCCTCCACCCAATCATACGCACACTGATTTGACAAGACCACTGAAGCTTGAATAGGCAACACGAACGGGCAAATCTTTGCCAATCCATTAATTTCGCGAGCTTATGACCTGGGGCGAACACACAGGTCAAACGATCATGTCAAACAACCCGGATCAGACGACACACATCAGTGAAATTAGTACAGATGACAGCCTAAATCTGACTCTCGGGATCCAATGGCCCAAAATTAGGCCACCGATACTCTGGAGTCGCTCAAAGAAGAACATCCAGTAATCTGGTCTAATTTCAGGCAACTTGAGAAACGGTCAAATAGTCAAGGAAGCATATCTCGATTGCTAGGGTTACCTACCGCATATATTGTAGGGCATTGTTAGTCTTGTTGACATTACCAGATGCAACAACTATAGACCCAGAAGTATCTCAAGCCATCTTTGCTCGCTTGCTCCCCACAGAACTCGATCTTCTTATACCCAGCTTTGTCTCGCCACGAGCCTTTTACCATCTCCTCAAATGTGACCTCCTCATTCGCGCTGGATAGTCTGTTGTGAGCTTAGGCAATGTTTATTTGTACAACGCTGCCATAGTTTTCCTTTGCACCGAGTTTCTATTATATTGTATTAAGACCATTAAGCTGTTTTGAAGTATCGAGAACCGCTTTTTTTTTTGAGATTCTGTATATTGAAATGACTGGTATGATGTTAAGTAGTAATCTTTATCTGAGTGATTTCGATCCGTAAAAGTTTTGAACGAGCAACTCATTTTCCGCGGCATATGCCACCCTTTTCGTAGGGCGTTGTCTTCGGTGGTGAGTCTGTATAGTGCAGCAAGTATCCACCCAGATGTATTCGTACCCGTGCTCGAGGGCTTTTCGACATGATTTTATGATCTTCTGGTAGCCATGACTGTTTTTTAGATAGTGATCATCCCTCAATGATGGGTCCGTGAACTGCTGCAGTGTGACTTCATCAGAGCTCCAGGTATGGGATAGAATGGCATATTCTGGTAAATGAGAATCGTCCATAAAGCTACATAGCTCAAGCCGACTGGTATGGATGAGTCGCATTATTACGGGCGCTGCGAGTCAGAAAGATGAAGGTAACCGTACATATGGGGTGTGTTGTGATGAGGTTGCGATGAAGACCCGAGGCTGCTGATGCCTAGCGAGGTTCTTGAGGGATCATAGACGCCCGTTGGGGCTATGCTTACATCCATCGCTGTAAGCCCCCAAAACATCAACATTGCCGTTGTGCGCTGTAGATTAAGCGAGGGTCG